TAGACAAGAAAACTATTAATTAGGAAAATGTTGGTTTATTGCTGCTGATAGGGAGATACAAATTTAACTTACTGCCTACACTTCTAGTCAAATCATCTCAATCTTCCAAAAGATTATCCCTTATAGATAGAAATCTGGTTCTTTAGTTCACATAATTAACCAAAAAGACCATATCATCCTACACTATTCAAGTTGCATAAAATTAATATATATGTGATATAGATGGACAAACAAGATAAATACTTTTTGTTGTGGTTATAAGACAATTATGATATCATTATGGTCATAGTAGACACTTGGGAAATAAGTACACAAGCACATGTGTAGCTCACATGCACATATTCCTGTAAGAAACCACATACATGCTGATATAATGGACACATAGGGATTTTGGTATAAAACAAACGCATACACAACAATCAATCATACATTCATGTATGCATGTACAATTTACTCATAAGTTTAAAATAAGCACACCTGTAATGGACACATAAACACACTTCTCCACACATCGTACTCCCCTGTATTATATCTTATCCATAAAGTTATCTATATATACCCACCTATATGCCTAACATTATGACTCCTCACTCTCTGTGTTCTAATTCCACGTACCTTTTAACAGATGTATCTAAAACCGCTTTTTTTCCAGGGAGTGCATTACTAGTGGTTCTGTATTTGAGGAAAAATATAAAGGCAATTTTCATCAACAATGCTTTTAAATAGAAAGTAAAGGATATTACTGGAATTGGAGCCTAATCACAAAAAACAATGAAAGTCTATATGTATTTGTCCAAATAATTCTCATGTTATATTGACGGTTTTTTTTAATCGGCCTGGATTGACTTCAGACAGATAAAGAAAGGTCAATAGAATGTCAGAATCATTTGGACTGTATAACTTTATACATATTTTCTCCAATATATAAAAACAACTACTCAGCACTGTGATATCCACCCATATTTACATTAAATACTAGTATTCAAAATCATTCACATTTAAAATAGGTTACAAACTAATTAAAAAGAGACAAACTTTTTGTCTCCGTATTGAATTTAAAAAAAACCCTTTTGTTTAAGGAATCAATGTTAAAAAAAACCCCAAAAAAACAAAAAAATACAAATTCTATCAATATATAATGATATATAACACAGGTATTTATACCTGAAATTCATAATGTTTCCATCTTGTCTAGCAAACATGTAGTAATGATAAGTCAAACTTGTTACCGTACCAACCAAGGTGTTTTGTGTACTTCAGTACATATGAACTACCACAGATTGTGGTCATACCATAAGTGTGAGAAAAAGTCATTATGTGCTTTCAAACTATGGAAGCCCATAAGGAAGATTGGCTGCAGTACTAAATGAATCACAGTGTTTTATACCAAACAAAAAAATTTGAATTAATGAAAAACAGGACAAAAATACCTCACCTGTTAATTTCATGGTCTGGCTGATCAGTAGCAACTGATATAACAGGCAAATGTCATAGTACAAAAAGGTTAATAAGCAATTGTCATCTCATAGTAAACATTCCTGCACAAAGCATTGCTCAATTTGATTTTCCTTCTAGAGTTGACAAGAAAAAATTCCCTTTTTCATAATCAAAAGATGAGAAATTCTAAAATAGTGCTAAATTAATGTACCTAGGACATAATTCCACCTCATAAATGCTGCTGTGATAAAATTTAATTACCCAGTTTCATTCTCAGAAAAAAAAGTTAAAATTGATAATAGATTGTTTCTAAATCCTTGTTCTTTACTCTGATATATAATTCTGAACTCTAAGGAATCAGTGACTTTACTACAATAGCTAAGGCAGCTGACCAGCACAGTGTTTAAAGCTTTATAATAAGTATATATATACATGGATATTCAATTAAGTACTAAGGAGTAATATCGCCTCTTCAACTCAATATTGTTGTTGTAATATTCTCTCTCTATAGCAATTTTCTGATAAAGTCTCTCTGAGGCATCCTTCCATCAAATTCATTCTCTTTATCTGGATTTCTCCTTCCAAACTTTACACCAGTGAACTTCATTCTCTATAATAATCTTTTATTTAACCTTCTGATTGCATAGTAAAAAGAAACAAATATTGGACATTAATAAATCAATCTGACCTTCGAGAAACATTAAATCTCATATTCATAAATTCAAATGCAGACTGGTTTTTTGCATGGCATTCATTTTGAAGGAGATGTACAGGTCAGAGTATTATGAAAAGCACACGTCAAAAATCAAAACTGACATAAAATGTTTGTGTTATATCTCAATGTGTAAATGTAAGTATACAGGACGAATAAGTTAATCAGACTTCTTAATACTTTCTCTTCTGTGTCAGGATAGTACCCTTCAATTAAATGGTACAATTCTGAAATGCAGCATTTTTATAAAAATCTATCTACTTCTAATTGAGTTACACTACAAAGACTAGAATAAATCACATCATGAAAAAATTCTCTACTTGTTGAAGATAAATTACCTTCTGTAACTACACAAAAATAGACAGCAGATACCAACACATGCTATTAAATTGATTTAGTACCCCTACTCTCAAACCAGCAAAGGTTTAGAGTTCTCTTTTTGATTATTTGTTATTATGCTTTCTACTTTTTATAACGCCTTGGAAAGTGTTGATGAAGAAGTTGTCGTGTAAAAAAAATGATACCATATAGTGTACTTCATGGTACATCTTTTACCGTCAGGCTCAAGTGTTTGAAAACAATTTTAATTCTTACATCATAAAATCATCTAGGTAAACATAACACAGAAAAGTGATCACAATTTTATGGAATGATCCTGAAGAGTTTAAGTTATCAAACATGATGATTACAGTAAGAGGTCCGAGGGTTTAGTTTTGTATATTGTTGTATATCCTACAGGGTCATTTAACAACAACAGCTTTGGGTGGTAGAGTAATACTGGATTTTCCACAGAAAAATTACTGATCTGTGGCCAGTAGTTAGTGATTATCCCAAGTAGGCCTTAAACCTGCCACCTGGAAGTGTTTGTGTGGGGGGGGGGGGGGACTGTATACTGTATAATATTACTAAATTTGGCACTATCAAATTTTAACATGCCATCACCTTATCGCCAATTAGCACATCCACAATAATTGCTAAGTTAACAACATACAGAAACTACAAATAGTGGATCTGTATTTTAGAACAATTTTATCAGTGTTACATGTCCTTATCTAAGACTAAAGCTAAAATAGATGTGTTTACAGTAGTTCACAATTTTGGTACATTGCAAGCCATAAATTAGTGATGAAAATGTCATCCAATTTGGTTCAGGAGTTTTCAAAAATGCTGCTTTTTCATAAACGCATGAAACAAACCGCTGGACAAAAAGCAAACTGAATCACTGGAGACTTTGTCTCGTATGATCTTAAAATGTTAACAATACCTACCCAGGAAAAACTCAAGCATTTAAAAATAATCATCATTAATAGGGAACACACATATTTCAAACCCACCAGTACATATATTATATCAAGTAATATTCAATAATAATATCTGAAGTGTAGATGATAGAAAAAAGTATAGGCATGTAAAAGTGACCTTTCAAAGCCAAATCATATAACTTTAAAAATTATCACATTGTAAAGCTGAAATATTCAAAGTTTCCTAAAACTGAAATTTAGAAAAAAAGGAAAAAATACATTGTGCCTAGAAAATGTTTTGAAGAATATTTCAAGCCAGTTGAAAAAATAAGATAGAGATGGTTGCTCACATTACGTCCCCCCAAAAATCTCCAAAACTTTTTAACATAATTTCTATTTGTTTTTCTTTTTTAGAAGATGAAAATCATCTCAAATACATGTTTTACATTGATTATCATGATCAATTTGGCATCAAGATAGCCAGTACATCAATACATAGATTTATCTATCATACATAAATAGGTACTCTGATTTTTTTTCAGTCTATCCATTTTTCCAAACCATCTGAATCATCTACAGCTTCAATTATCTCCCTTTGGTGTTTTATTGCCACTATATATACTAATTAGAATATATGCTTTGATATCTATACCTTAAATGATCTAATAAAACTTGCAGTATTTGTACTCATCAAGGTAATTACTAAGATACAAACATATGATACCGTAATCACTGAAGAAATTTGGAAACTGAATAAAAAGACTAACACTTGCATCCACATAAACAAACACCCCAAACTGTTCACTCATATTCATTAAAAAGATCTTGAATGCAATTTTAAGTCAGCTGATTGAATGAATTTTGGTAATCATTAATTTGGTAAAAAAATACTCAATCATACAAAATAAAGCCTCAATTTAGAACACGCACTAATATGGTAATCTGATAAAAATATTTTTTGAAAAGATGGTATATATTGAAGAAGTTGGATAAGGGTTGGAGAATTTTCTTTGACAATATTTTTCTTCTGTAAAATCACATACTTTCTTATGTATTAATTTTTAATCACTACATGCTTCAAAAGCTAGTTGATATGTTTGATGAAAACACCGAGTGAAACAAGTGAAGGTGGCAAGAAACATGATTAAGAATATACCCAAGGTATCATACATCTTTGGCCACTTTTGTGTAACTCAGCTGAAATGGTCCGGACATGGAATTATTTCATGATAAACGAACGCACCTATACTGAATAATGGAAATGGTAAATGTAAACCTAATAATGCATGTTTTCAAAATTTCATGTCCAACATAAAACTATGTACCAATAATAAAATATGGTATATCATATTCTGTATATACATGTATCATTATAACATTTCCAGAAATACGCAAAAACTTTGGCTAAGTAAGGTTGGCTCCCTCAAAAAGCAGGTTCAACTGTTTATGTGAAAGTGACCAAAGTCACATGTTTTTGTAAACATTAGAATGTTTATAAGTAATCCTTTGCTTTCAATCATAATTTGTTACAAAAGTTTGAATGATGTAATGAATTCCTTTGGAAACATAAATGTGATTATTAATAAAAACAGAATATAAATTTACTCTTCTTCAGGAAAACCAAATTCTACTTTTAAAGCAAAGAGTCTTTGTTTAAAGTGATCACTATTAATCTGATTAAATGTACCACATCTTGTAGTCAACAAAAATGAAAACTATTCATCAAAGTTCAAAGGTCATGAAAAGGGCACATGGTGTTTATATTTGGTGTTGGTAATAAAATACAATCACAGTGCAGCTTTAGTCATCACAATTTCTATCAGCTGAGTTTATGTCAATTTCTTCTCACTGGGTGTCACTTTGGATCCATACGACGACCCCTTCTTTATTTCAGTTAGGCTGATCATCCAATTTGAAAACAATGTCACTGAAAAAAACAATGGAGTTTTGTTATGATGGTTCAATGCATTAAGTATATGAGCTGATTTATCAGCATGATCTATGTCTAATGTCTATATCTAATGTTAGTGAGGGTACTAAGGGGTGTGGTTTGATATACAAGTCCACTTCCACAAGCATACAATACTCTAATGTCCCCTATATGTTAAACGATCCCTTTCAAATGTACATTCTTTTTTTAACCTCAAATTACTCAAAACATTATTTCACCAATAATTTACATTCCTTGCTTTAATATCTATCCCTGTCTCACAATATTCACAATAACTATTCTATGTATTTGTTGAAAGGTGACGCAAGCCAACACCTGTAAATAGCAAAACAGTTGTCTCAGCAATGTAAAGCCACACAACAGTAAAACATTATTACATCTATAAATCAAGTGTATCGCCTGATGAACAAAGACAGTTGGTTTTTGCTGAAATATACACATAAAGAGGTAAATGGATAATTATAAAAAAGAATTCCTTATCTGTTGATCAACAGTTTGAATATATAAACTTTTGCTTCATATATAACAACTCATGTGCACAAAATGCTGTCGCCTGTAAACAAAAATGACTTCACGCTTGAATCGGTCTCAACAATGTTGGCAATCAATGTTACTTGGCTTAGAGTTATAAAATAAAATATGTCACTTCCATCACAAAATTGGTGTCCTTACTGTAATGCCCACCATGTGTGTTCGTGTTTACAAAATAAACTGACTCATGTTCAAAATATTACATCATATTATGAATACCAGCACTAAATTTGACTGACAGGGGCTTTCCCAAACCAAGGAAGTGGTCAGCTGGATATTGGAAATCAACGGTGAATATCGAGAGAGTACAGGGTGTAAATACATAAAACACGTACAATCAATCACAAAATTAATGTTAACAGTGATGTCCCTTTAAATCAAATAGGTACAAGTTTTTAAGTTTTTTCAGCTCATTTCTTTAAGAATGTACTCCTCTGATGTCTGACCAGAAGTAGGACACAATTTAATATAAAATGGAGTCTAACATAACGTATCGGACTTTGGATTTTTTTATATACATGTACTTTGTTATCTATATTTTTAAAGATAATCTGAAAAAGCGCTCTTTACTTGACACTTGAAGAAATATCACTTGTGATCAACAATTTTTTATTTTGTCAAGTGTATCAACAATTTCAATAGGTTCTCCTTGACGAGGGAGTTCTCCTGAATACCTCTGGAATTCTTCAGTAGATTTAAACTAAATTTTGCATATATTATCACCGTAAACGACAGATTTCAAATTTGTGAATTCTGACTTGTTGCACCACTTTCTCTAGGACCCGAAAACAAATACATGTATTTCAGATTGTCTCTTGATCTTGGAAAAGCTGGCTATTTGGGTCGAAAATTGAAAAAAATAAAGCACATCAACAATATTCTTTGGTAATCATGGAAAATACACTCCAATGTTTCTCTATCCAAGAATAAAGTCTAACAGAAGTTGGTCAAATAAAGGATTTAAGTCATTTTTCAAAATTTTCCTTTTTTTGTTGAATCAAATGAAAATTTAGCATTTTCATATGATTTTCTTTCTTAACGACTAAGTATCATACTTAATCCTATAAAATTATGACGAAAATTTATTTTTAAAATGATTGCCATGATAACACCAAAGAACAGCTGTCTGCCTGTATTGAAAAAGAGACAGCAATAACATATTGGTATTTTGCTTTTGAATAACTTCCTAAAATTCAGCCTCAGAAAAATTCATCATGCCAACAAAAATTTGATGCTGTTTAATATATTCAAGAAGAATGACACCATCTAATAACTTGCTATTCTGGTACTCATGTTTCTGCAACATTGTAGGGATGTACTGTAATGAAGTTAACAGATTTGAAAAAATAAGTTTGATAAAGTTCAGTAAGGAGAAGATGACCCAATAGAACTGATTTCAAATGTTAACTTGTCATATAAGAACAAAATTATTAAATTGAAAACAATGAATTTAAATGTGTAGAAATATAAAGGAACTCGGTGAATAAACACAGACATGAAGGGAATAAAGCAGGAAAACGCTTGTGACCTTTGGCTTATCAATGAATATATTGGATCTAATTGAGACCATCCCAAAGCAATCTCCTCCACCTAGGCAAATGTTTCTCATTCCCAAGTAAAAAATCTTTACCATATTAAGAGATCAACTTTGCTATCTTTGCACCACATATGAACCTATTCACTACTATTGTCTTTAAAGCTTGTTGCGATATGATGAAATACCCTTAAACAAAGACAATATTTCATGTCTAGAATGAAAAAAAAAATCTATCTTGGAATTACAGTATCTTGGGACATTCTGTGCGGTGTATTTTTTTTACGAACTTTGCATATTTCAGGTTTTATTTTGTGATTCCATCATCTCAGAAATTTGAAGGGCATTTTCGACGACCTTGAATACTTCAGAATGGACATTCAAACAAGAACTGGAGAACTAACTGACCTGTCATAATAGATAAGAAATTTACTGACCAGTAATTAGTATTCATTATAGTAGCATTCACGACTGGAAAGTGTTCAGGTGTATTACTAAACCAAAAAACATGCAAAAATTCCCAATATACACTGTCATAGTTTGGAACATTGTGCATGTGGAAAATTTTGTTCCTCACTGTAAGCAAGTGTATAATTTGAAATAAATAATTTAGTTGAAAACATGGTGCCAACAAAACAAAATGGTGCTGGTAGTTTGCAGGGCACAGAAACAAACAGAAAACAAATATAGAAAAAAACACGTGAAAAGCAAAGAACTATAAGAGAATTACTAGCAAGGATCATTCCGATTTCTTCACGCCATTGGCTCCGCCGGCCTTGCCATAAGATGATCCTTTATTTATTTCTGTCAAGCTGATCATCCAGAAAGAAAATGTGGCCACTGAAAGGGGAAGATGTTCAGATGTGAAACAGAGTGTAAAATATACAATGGTTACGCTGGTGTCTCTGAGTTAGTGAGATACAGAGTGTAAAATATACAATGGTTTCTCTAGCTTATCAGAGTTAGTGAGATTCTCTAGCTTATCTGAGTTAGTGAGATACAGAGTGTAAATATACAATGATTTCTCTAGCTTATCTGATTTAGTGAGATTCTCTAGCTTATCAGAGTTAGTGAGATTCTCTAGCTTATCTGAGTTAGTGAGATACAGAGTGTAAATATACAATGATTTCTCTAGCTTATCTGATTTAGTGAGATTCTCTAGCTTATCAGAGTTAGTGAGATTCTCTAGCTTATCTGAGTTAGTGAGATTCTCTAGCTTGTCTGAGTTAGTGAGATACAGAGTGTAAAATATACAATGGTTTCTCTAGCTTATCAGAGTTAGTGAGATTCTCTAGCTTATCTGAGTTAGTGAGATTCTCTAGCTTATCAGAGTTAGTGAGATTCTCTAGCTTATCTGAGTTAGTGAGATTCTCTAGCTTATCTGAGTTAGTGAGATTCTCTAGCTTATCAGAGTTAGTGAGATTCTCTAGCTTATCTGAGTTAGTGAGATTCTCTAGCTTATCTGAGTTAGTGAGATTCTCTAGCTTGTCTGAGTTAGTGAGATTCTCTAGCTTATCAAAGTTAGTGAGATTCTCTAGCTTATCTGAGTTAGTGAGATTCTCTAGCTTGTCTGAGTTAGTGAGATACAGAGTGTAAATATACAATGATTTCTCTAGCTGATCTAAAAAGTTGGTGAGAAACAAAGTGCGAAATATTCAATGGATTCTCTACCATACGTTAGTTGGTATGAAATGGAAAAGAATAATCTTCTGAGCAGGTCCTTTTTTAATTTTTTATTTACCTGCTAACAAGACCAGAGTAGTATGAATAAAAATGAATATGATAGCAAGCAATCTATAAGATGACTAGACCATTAAACTGATATGCTAAACTCTATTATTACAGTATGTAATATGATTACTGATAATTAAACAAACATGGTTAACATCTCTAGCATGGCTACCCACAAATGTATTAGAGGCAAGTGCAAATGATTATGAAGGATATTGAAGTTGTGCTGCCTGGGTTGATGATCTTGACAAAACTACAAAAACACATAGTTCTACCATCAAGATAACTGCTATCTAACAGAAAGGTTTCCTTCACTGATTGGTTGTTACAGCCATCCCTTGTTGTACAGAGAGGTGAGAATAAGATGATGCAAATTACATCCTACATGATTGTGGGAATCATAGAGTGGTAAGATGCCTCATAAGAATGTTTCTTTATTGACTTGATCTCCCCCCCCCCATCCCCCCCCCCCCCCCCCCCCCCCCCGAGAATAAGATGATGCACATTACATCCTACATGATTGTGGGAATCATAGAGTGGTAAGATACCTCATAAGAATGTTTCTTTATTGACTTGATCTCCCCCCCCCCCCCCCCCGAGAATAAGATGATGTAAATTACATCCTACATGATTGTGGGAATCATAGAGTGGTAAGATACCTCATAAGAATGTTTCTTTATTGACTTGATCTCCCCCCCCCCCCCCCCCCCCCCCCCCCCCCGCCCCCGAGAATAAGATGATGCAAATTACATCCTACATGATTGTGGGAATCATAGAGTGGTAAGATACCTCATAAGAATGTTTCTTTATTGACTTGATCTCCCCCCCCCCCCCCCCGAGAATAAGATGATGTAAATTACATCCTACATGATTGTGGGAATCATAGAGTGGTAAGATGCCTCATAAGAATGTTTCTTTATTGACTTGATCCCCCCCCCTCCGTGAACAGCTAGGTTAATTCTAAGCTGGATCTCCCTGCAGTAGTTAGTGGTTACTTCACTGAACAACATACAGGAGGCCCATCACAAGCCATCCAGAGCAATTAGGGTAAAGTCTCTGGCCCAAGAACTCAACTATGTAAGCACAGGCTGGTTCATTTACCAGGAAACACAAACTGCCATGGTAAGAAATGGTTAGAAATGGTCAAACCACATAGCCTATGTCTTCACCGGAGGTTACATAGGCGAACACTCTAACTGACTTAGCTATTATGACATCTGCCATGTAAAATTAGCTGAAATAAAGATCAGTTGATTTGTTTGGGGTTCTTTGTCCTCTGAACAAATCAGGTGAAGTAAAGACAGTATGCATCCTGTACCAAGCTCAGGGAAAAACATACTGTTATAATACTTAGTTTAGCGCAATAAATACTAGGTCATTATTACTTGAAAGACAACTGAATAATTAGCACCATGATCAATCACATTCTAGTGCAATGCTTTCAGAGTGAAGAACACAAAAATAAAATAACCACTAAAATAGGTATGTTTATAGTAACCTTTGAGTCAAAATAGGTTTATTACAGGACATATTCCTGATCAAAGTATTGAAAAATGTGCCACTCAACATATGGACAACATTGTGTCATTGTACAGAATGAGTGTCAGTATAATGGGATGATAATTTTGTGTACAACACAGAGAGTGGAGCATGTTCTGATGTATCTATAGCTGTAGTACATATAACATTGTGCTACAGAGTCTGGAGCGTGCAGCATGTACCTATTGGTAGCTATGTATAGCTGCAGTACATATAACATTGTGCTACAGAGTCTGGAGACGTGCAGCATGTATCTTTTGGTAGTTATGTATAGCTGTAGTACATATAACATTGTGGTATAGAGTCTGGAGACGTGCAGCATGTTCTGATGTATCTATAGCTGTAGTACATATAACATTGTGCTACAGAGTCTGGAGACGTGCAGCATGTTCTGATGTATCTATAGCTACAGTACATATAACATTGTGCTACAGAGTCTGGAGACGTGCAGCATGTTCTGATGTATCTATAGCTACAGTACATATAACATTGTGCTACAGAGTCTGGAGCGTGCAGCATGTACCTATTGGTAGCTATGTATAGCTGCAGTACATATAACATTGTGGTATAGAATCTGGAGCGTGCAGCATGTTCTGATGTATCTATAGCTGTAGTACATATAACATTGTGCTACAGAGTCTGGAGCGTGCAGCATGTACCTATTGGTAGCTATGTATAGCTGCAGTACATATAACATTGTGCTACAGAGTCTGGAGACGTGCAGCATGTATCTTTTGGTAGTTATGTATAGCTGTAGTACATATAACATTGTGGTATAGAGTCTGGAGACGTGCAGCATGTTCTGATGTATCTACAGCTGTAGTACATATAACATTGTGGTACAGAGTCTGGAGTCGTGCAGCATGTACCTTTTGGTAGTTATGTATAGCTGTAGTACATATAACATTGTGCTACAGAGTCTGGAGTCGTGCAGCATGTACCTTTTGGTAGTTAAGTATAGCTACAGTACATATAACATTGTGGTACAGAGTCTGGAGACGTGCAGCATGTACCTTTTGGTAGTTATGTATAGCTACAGTACATATAACATTGTGGTACAGAGTCTGGAGACGTGCAGCATGTACCTATTGGTAGTTATGTATAGGGACCGTATAACATATCCTGTGATCTTTAGTATGTGAACTTCAGTAAGCCCTCTACCACAGTGTATCAACAGCTGTCTGTTCTGTTTCAGTGATCATGAAATATATTTGTTACATTGTGTAGTTGTTTTTGTCATAACTGAACTGAGAACACATTGAAAAAAATATTTCTGGTTTGTGAAAGGAAGATAATTCAAGGTAACTAAAAATTTCATGATTTTTTTTTGTTGTTTTTTTTTTTATTTCTTGATATTTTTGAGATATGAAAACATTACTTACTTATTGTCACAAGACCCACAACAATAAGTTGCTGTGTGATGGTCCCTGCTACTATAATGCTCCCTAGGTAATAAAACAGTGGAATGTCTGTCACCAGGAACCAGAAAATCCAGTTCAAGAGGTCGTGAGGTCGTTGTGGAGGATGAAATGCAGGAAGGTCAAACTTCCCTGTCTTGAAATATTCATCTACAAGGTCATCCTGCAAGGTGAAATAATCTTACATTACAGCGAGGTTGTCTAAATTACACTGTACCACTTCTACTTCAAAAAGATAGATTTCTATTTTCTGTATGAAAATGATAGAACTATACATTTAAAATGCTTTACTTCATTATATTTTAGTTCAGATGTTAGTTTATAAGAAAAAGATGATGGATTTTTTTCATGCAGTTGGTTTTTTCTTATATTTACCTTTTGTATTTGTTTAGCATTAACACAAGATTGTCATCTATTTCAGTCTTTACTTTAGAAAGTTGAAGCCAGATTATGTGGCCCCTTTCAATCTTCAATAAAATAGTAAAAATATGGGCATGCAGCCCCTTTCTTTCTTAAATTCAGAAAGTTTAAAAAAAGGTCAGAGGTCATGTAAGTGTGCTTTTATAAATGCATTGAGTTCTCACCTTTTCTTTAAACAAATCTCTGAGCCATTTTGATAAATCCTCCTCTTCCTTCGGTAAGCTTTCCAAGTCATATCGTCTGAAATGATATTCAGTAAAATTTCAAAATATACCAACAGCTATGAATAAAAAAATTGAACACAAGTCTGTTTTATGAAGAAGGAGATCTCAATCTCTTAATAAGAGTTTCCCTGGCAAGCACATATACACATATTACAACAGCATACATCTTTGGGATCTCAAATTTCATGGTTTCTCAAATTGAATGGCACTTGATTATTCGGATAACCAGCACTCACTTAAGTTATTTGCAACATCAATTTATGTTAAAATAAGGCAAATTCAATCTCAACAGGCTAGAGGTGGGTTCTTCAATTTTTTTTTTAAGGTAGTCAGTCTACTGTCCTTACTGTCAGGCTTTGTCAGGACTTGTCTCTGTCCTTACTGTCAGGCTTTGTCAGGACTTGTCTATGTCCTTACTGTCAGGCTTTGTCAGGACTTGTCCCTGTCCTTACTGTCAGGCTTTGTCAGGACTTGTCTCTGTCCTTACTGTCAGGCTTTGTCAGGACTTGTCTATGTCCTTACTGTCAGGCTTTGTCAGGACTTGTCTATGTCCTTACTGTCAGGCTTTGTCAGGACTTGTCTCTGTCCTTACTGTCAGGCTTTGTCAGGACTTGTCTATGTCCTTACTGTCAGGCTTTGTCAGGACTTGTCTCTGTCCTTACTGTCAGGCTTTGTCAGGACTTGTCTCTGTCCTTACTGTCAGGCTTTGTCAGGACTTGTCTACTGTCCTTACTGTCAGGCTTTGTCAGGACTTGTCTCTGTCCTTACTGTCAGGCTTTGTCAGGACTTGTCTCTGTCCTTACTGTCAGGCTTTGTCAGGACTTGTCTACTGTCCTTACTGTCAGGCTTTGTCAGGACTTGTCTCTGTCCTTACTGTCAGGCTTTGTCAGGACTTGTCTCTGTCCTTACTGTCAGGCTTTGACAGGACTTGTCTACTGTCCTTACTGTCAGGCTTTGTCAGGACTTGTCTACTGTCCTTACTGTCAGGCTTTGTCAGGACTTGTCTACTGTCCTTACTGTCAGGCTTTGTCAGGACTTGTCTCTGTCCTTACTGTCAGGCTTTGACAGGACTTGTCTCTGTCCTTACTGTCAGGCTTTGTCAGGACTTGTCTATGTTAGTTTTTTATGTTTATCATTTTATGGATAGATAAATTTGTGGATTAAGATTACACACGAAATCAAAATTAAAACCTGATAAAAAGGAATGATTTTGCAGTACATGTACTTAAAATAAAACTATAACACACTGAACAGTCATGAACTGTATACATCATGTCATCATCATTGGCCCATAAAATGTGTCGAAGGTTCACTTCAAAAATAACCCTAACAAACCATCCATTATTCTATAGAATTTATCGACTTATCACTGATAAAACATGACAATTAATTTCCAAAGAGTAATCACTTAAGAGAATTTTTCATTTGCTACATTGGTAGTCATTAAGGAAAACAGAAAAAAAGTATTTCAAATGAGAAAAACAACTTCTTTGAATGTGCTCACTAAGTATGCCTGCACGTAGAGATACAAATCTAAAGACATGGTCACCTACCAAAAGTTTGATTTAAACAAGGCAGTGTTGAGAGTTAATCTGTATGCTGACCCTACCACCTTGACCAGGATATGCAGAAGTTTTGTTTTAGTACTGTTTGTGATAAAAATATTTATTTTTCTTTCTTAATTCAATCAGTTTTCAGCTCTCATGCTAATGCCATTGATTCTCAAACTTATACATAACTTTTTTAAGCAAAACTAGAAATTTTCAGACATAAATGCTCAAGCTCCAATTCAAATCAATATTGGCTGACAGATTCTCAAGTTATGACAATGATGCAGAACAGGACTGGACAAGATGGGACAGATGGATTCAACACAATAGGCTGTCCCCTTAAAATCCAGGGACATAACTACACACTTCATAAATTTCATAGATTTTCTACAATTTTGATTTATTCCATCAATTTCTCTTGGTCCTAATGCTATTTTCCTATGTTACATTTTATTAAAATATTACAGATACCTTAGAAAATACAACATTTATCCATTTCTAGCTATAGTATACCAATGTTTACTTCTCAGCATAACTACAGCTGGGTAGACTAAATGCTTCAGACTCCATCCAACTAAACAGAACACCTGTAGTGTTATATACTAACTTCATTCTTAGATGAGCTGTGATGGCGTTGCCTCTAAAAGCATTCATTAATGTTGGCTTCACACTGTTTCCTTTGAATCCCATAGCAATATCATACACAGCACCAACTGGAAAAAAAATAGATATTTTGTTGAATGTGACAAGACTGAAATATCTTTCATATGGTGTACTCAATGTTTTACAGTTTTGACTAAACTGACAATGGCACTATGACAGAGACAAAACCAACAAGATGTCCATAGGGCCTGTATCCCTCACATGGTTTGGTTCATTCATATTTGCTTTATAAAAACAGGAAGTGAATGAATTTACAAATTTACCTCTATTTACCCTAAAGGACCCCCCCTTCTTCCCTCAGAAAGTCTGGCCCTTGCTTTATACAAAATAGAATCCTGTCTACCAATGATGCTTTCGATTGCATTTGGTCAAATCTCTTCATCCCTACCGAAGAAAGATTTTAAAACATCTGCCCCTATTTCTGTACTGGGTTCAAAGCAGCTGTCTCATTGCGGTCAAACCGAATATTTATATGAAACTGAATCCTGTACAACTTGGTGTGCTTCAGATTAAATTTGGTCAAAATACTTCAATCCAACAAATTCCTCTATTTCTCCTGGCCTGGCCCCCCTACCTAAAGCATCGTCAAACTCTTGGTTTATAAACAAGAGCTGATGCAGAACATAATAGCTTGCCTCAGAAATATCTATCAATAACAAATGTAACAGATATAGTTTAACATTTGTTTCTTCTCTATTGACCAGCTCTAAACATTTGAATCAAATTTCTTTTCATTTATCACCAGAAATCTTTTAGTCAGTTTCTGGGCAGGGACAAGCACAGGAATCCTGATTACAAATACTAGTACCAAAGTATATAGTTATAAAGTGATGTATTTTCATTAGATACAAAATATGTATCTGACAAGTCCAAAACATGTCAAAAAGCAAGCCCCCCCCCCCCAGATTCTGCCCTCCTTTGTGTGACCCTGAGAAGGTTACACCCACCAGGGACCTTGGTACCAGCATCCTAATACAATTATTAAGTGATTTACTGATGTCTTTCAACACTGGCACCAAAATCATAGCATTTAAAAAACCAATGTCAACATCAAGGTGACATCAGGGTGACATTAGCTCTCCAGTTGGATCTACTCCATCCAGTGATGCTTCAGAAAACTCAAAGTAGGTACTCAGGATTTAGCGAACAGACTCCACTACAGGCTAAGCTCATAGGTCCTTAAATGGATCAGGTGACCCAGAATCTGTCACTTACCTCCCCCTTATTCTGTAACAATGAAGTATTATCATGACCTACACAATACCTGGCCTGTTACCTTTCCTTTTGCCTTATCTGTGATATGACCTGTGATTGTGACCTATCGATCTGCCCCTTGTCTGACATGTATCACATGACCTATAATTGTGACCTTTATTTGTGACATGACCTTATAACATTTGATTATGACCTATCTGCCCCTTTGTCCGACATGTATCATATGATTGTATCATTGTATCATATGTCAATTGCGACATACCTGCCCCTTTGCCCTGAAGAGCCTGGATGGTGTAACTGAACCCCTTTGTGCGTGGCAGTAAATGATGCTTCAGCTCTGGGTATCCTTTCTCTTTTGCTACTTTTAAACTGGCTGTATGTTTCTCTGCAGTAAACCTTGTACCCTCTGGAAACAAGAGAAGCTGAGAAAAAAAGGTATAAAATGTGTACTTGAATCATGTCATGAAAAATGACTTTATCTGGAGAAAATAAAAACTGATGACTTTCAATTGCATTTTTTGAGGGTGGGGGGTTGGGGGGGTAGGGGGATTGGTCGGTGGGAGGGGGATTGGTTCTCAAACCTTAAAGTTTATTTTTGAACAAAGACAAGATGATATATCCTATTTTCTGTGGAAATTTCATTAAATTTTCAAATTGAAAAGGAGAGATTTAAAAACAAATTCTATGAAATATTGCCTATAACTTGAACTTAAATCAATTTCCCAATCCTTATGCTTCAATTCAATAATATAAAGTCAAAATATATTGCTACTTAAATATTCAAAGAAAATTTTAATACTTGAACAAGTTAATAAACTACATTAAATTAAATGTGCTTTGACATGTCTTACTTCTGCCTCCAATTAAGCCCAAAACCTAGATCAGTGTGATGTAGAAACAAAATGGCTACTCAATGATGATTATTCCTAAACTGAGGCCAATGAATGTTTTAAATGATTTGTGATACAAATGTCACCCTTCCAGCTTATTTATATCTTTGTGTACATTGATCAAAGAAAAGAAAAGTATAAAAACAGCTTTTTTTTACTAATATATACAAATGTACTTCAATATAGCTACTTATCAATGCAAGTCAAGTCGTGACAAGTAAAATTAACATAATTTGAATGGCGATATATGTAGCAATGCAACAATTTCTTTTATTTCTTTTTACACCAGGGTACTTAAATCAATTTAAATTACTGTAGTACATAACCAAAAACTGCTTATCAGTTTTTTGAGAGTACTAGGTCTTTGGAAGCGAGAGTTTTGAATTCTGAGTTTTGAAACTCATAAGAAATTTCACCTATTAAATATGTATACATCAGCACATCTAATAATAATTAGGTCTCCAATTAAATCATATTCAGGGATTTCTTATAGAATACCATAATCCAAAGTGGATAATAGTACTGGTCAGAAACAATGCACAAATCCCTGACAAACAAGTACTGGTCAGAAACAACGGACAAGTCCCTGACAAACAAGTACTGGTCAGAAACAACGGACAAATCCCTGACAAACAAGTACTGGTCAGGGAAGTCAGACAGATCTCTGACAAACCAGCACTGGTCACGGAAAGCCGACAGATCTCTGACAAACCAGCACTGGTCACGGAAAGCCGACAGATCTCTGACAAACCAGCACTGGTCACGGAAAGCCGACAGATCTCTGACAAACCAGCACTGGTCACGGAAAGCGGACAGATCTCTGACAAACCAGCACTGGTCAGGGAAAGCGGACAGATCTCTGACAAACCAGCATTGGTCAGGGAAAGCTGACAGATCTCTGACAAACCAGCATTGGTCACGGAAAACGGACAGATCTCTGACAAACCAGCATTGGTCACGGAAAGTGGACAGATCTCTGACAAACCAGCATTGGTCAGGGAAAGCGGACAGATTTCTGACAAACCAGCACTGGTCAGGGAAGTCAGATAGATCTCTGACAAACCAGCACTGGTCACGGAAAGCGGACAGATCTCTGACAAACCAGCACTGGTCACGGAAAGCGGACAGATCTCTGACAAACCAGCACTGGTCAGGGAAAGCCGACAGATCTCTGACAAGCCAGCATTGGTCAGGGAAGTCAGATAGATCTCTGACAAACCAGCATTGGTCACGGAAAGCGGACAGATCTCTGACAAACCAGCACTGGTCACGGAAAGCCGACAGATCTCTGACAAGCCAGCATTGGTCAGGGAAGTCAGATAGATCTCTGACAAACCAGCACTGGTCACGGAAAGCGGACAGATCTCTGACAAACCAGCATTGGTCAGGGAAAGTGGACAGATCTCTGACAAACCAGCACTGGTCAGGGAAAGCCGACAGATCTCTGACAAGCCAGCATTGGTCAGGGAAGTCAGATAGATCTCTGACAAACCAGCACTGGTCACGGAAAGCGGACAGATCTCTGACAAACCAGCACTGGTCACGGAAAGCTGACAGATCTCTGACAAGCCAGCATTGGTCAGGGAAAGCGGACAGATCTCTGACAAACCAGCATTGGTCACGGAAAGCGGACAGATCTCTGACAAACCAGCATTGGTCAGGGAAAGCCGACAGATCTCTGACAAACCAGCATTGGTCAGGGAAAGCCGACAGATCTCTGACAAGCCAGCATTGGTCAGGGAAAGCGGACAGATCTCTGACAAACCAGCATTGGTCAGGGAAGCACCATAGACCTCTGACAAATCAGCACAAGTCAGGGAAGTCAGACAGATCTTTGACAAACCAGTTCCGGTCAGGGAAAGCAGACAGATCTCTGGGAAATAAGTACTGGTCAGAAACGATGGACAAACCCCTGACAAACAAGAACTAGTCAGGGAAGTCGAATAGATCTCTGACAAACCAGCATTGGTCAGGGAAAGTTACACAGATGTCTGACAAATTCTTTAAACCAGTACTGTTCAGGAAAGTCAGACAGATGTCTGACACAATAGTACTGAACAAAGATGTTATGATCTCTGTAACAATATAATACTTACTGTAAACCAGTATTGGTCAGGATAGTCAAGCAGTTCTTTCATGGTATCTTTTATAATTTTCTTGTCCTTTACCCAATTTCTCATCAAGAATATACACTCTGTGAAATACCATGCCCAGCCTATCAGGGGAATGTATCGCAACATGTTTTTGCCATAAACTTTTGCTCCCTGTTAAAGAAAATAAAATTGAAAATTATCCATTTTCAACACCATTAATGTGGTAAAATGTATAATATAAGTGTAATGAAGGATTTCTTGTTTAAAAATGTTCACAATTTTACTTAAATGAATAGACATGCCAGGATGAGAATAAGACAATTAGAGAATCCTAAAGAAAGTTTATGAAATGAGTCTTAAAATTTTACATTTTGCCTTGTCTGATGCTTGGTAAATGAAGGTGGCAGAGCTTTGGGTTAGACAGTCATGAGTCTACCATTGGGTAGAGATTTCTCTGTCCTATCCTCAAGCTAGGTAGGAAAGAATAATTAAATCCAGTGTATTGTAACCGTTGACTTTTGTTATTTATATGCTGTCTTGTAAACATGATAGCCTAAATTGTTCAAATCCACTACAAAGTATGAAACATTTGTTCTCATGACACATCTAAGAAAGAGATGATTATAAAATCTAAAAGACAATCCATGAAGATAAAAAAGTAGTGGAAAAAAATAAATATATCTAATGATTTTATCATGGTTGGTGTTTTTCAGTAAGCTGCAATCATGGTTATGTAAAATAGCTTTGGATATGAATAACTTGCAGTGGGCCTCCTCCATGTTGTTCAATGAGGTAGCTAGCAATCCTCAAATTGAACCTGGCTATTCAAACAAAATTCTTGCATGTAATCTTTGAATAACATAAACCTACCCCTAACACACTGTATCTTTCAGCCAGGATCCATAGCATCAGCCAGTCAATCTCATAAGTGTGATTCATCAACACCAAGATATGTTCCTTGCCTGCAAATTCACGATCTTTTGGGTCTATGTACAATATGATATCACATCCTGACCACCACTGTGCAACAAAAGTAAACTCTGAAACATATCAAAGCATCCAAACCAAACATCATATCATTGTTATAGAGTTTTTAAAAATAAATCAATTCAAAAATGGAAAAAAACATTCGTTTATTAGTTCTTTGTAAATTGAATAGATACATTGTATGTACAATTTTCTTAAACTTTATCTCATTCTGTGTTATATAGCCTTGTAGTGTTCAATTTATACCCCAACACTTTACCCTCCTTTTTTTTCCCTTTCCTTTTTTCTTTTCTTTTTTTTTTTCGCCATGGGAAAAAAATTTACATCTTCATCTACCAAGAAAGACATTTCATATGAACCTGCTTTTTCATGGTTCTCTCTAAACTTTTTTTCTTTATTTTCAGATTCAAGTTTCATGTTTTGAGAGGTGGTCTTTATTCTGAAATGGTCAGCATTTCACAAAGAGTTCACAATAATGTTACCATAATTGCTATAAATACTGCATAGTGTACTTACGGGACCAGCTTGAATATCCAAGAATGTAGTTTATTTTCCTGAACAATTTACGATCGAATGGCCAAATAATTAGGGTCCATACCATGAGGAAGTTTATGATGAGAGTACTGACCACAAATGTGTACATAAACACCAGGAAAAATAAAAAAGATTTTTTCACCGCATTTGGAAGTGGAAGGCCAGCCATTTTGTCTGAAAAGAGAAATGGGTTGAAATAACACATCAGCAATTGACATATTGAGTCTTAGAATCAATATATTTGTCAACAACTTAGCTTTCCTTACATTCCATATTTACAGTCCATTGACCAATAAGCTGGTTTTCCTACACATCAATATCAATACACAGTAGATCTGTCTTCCATTGTAATTATCACCAAGGCTTGCTATTTCTGAATATAGAAAAAAAATATATTCTTCGAAATGTTGGGTGTTCAGATGGTAGAGCCAACGCCGTACGTTCTTCCACTCCTCAGCTGGATACCCAAAGGTATGCAGGGTGATGGATCAATAGAGCAAATCAAGTAAAATATACCAATCACAACAGGAGTGTATCAGGTCCTGATGAAGCCCGAGAGGGCAAAACTGGTCAACAAACATCTAATAAAAAGACCATACACTTCTAGACTGTTGTGATTTCCTAAATTTCAACCCAAGACTGTTAATATCATAATCTTCAGGTTTTGGTTGGTGCCAATTATAACAGATCAGGAAAAAAATACACATCTGTTAGTTACTTCAACAGCAATCAAACCCTAAGTTTCTTTATATTTGTTTGTTTGCAGTGTTTATCACCTCATGAACAGCCAGGGAAATTTGAGGAGGGGTAAGTTAGTGTAAAGTGTCCTGTCCAAGGACTTACCACAACAGCACATACTACCGAATTTTTGCAGTTATATGAGGAATACAAACATAGAAAAAGAGTGTCAAACAACACACTTCACCTGAGGTTACATACACCAGCTCTCTAACTGAATGAGCTATCTGCGGGCCTGAACACATATCTCATAATAGGCATGATACAATAATATCTAAATAATTCATGGCCCTACCAACTGAGCAAAAGAATGATTCATGCACTGTCAACTGAGTTAAAGATATTACAACTTATTACAAACATCAGAGACGTATATATATATATATATATACATCCCTGCAAATATACAGTACAGTAGTTTTAGTAAGTTTTTTTTTCTTTCACATGATGTTTCAATATAATTCTACATGGAATCATACAAACAGTTATGTTCATGATCATAAAAATTATTGGACCTAATATGATTAATTTTGAAATTGATAGGCCAACCTCTCCTATCAACAGCATGGCCATATACATGAATCACACCCAAAGAATGAGATTTAAAAAAACTATCAAATTATAGGCGTTGGGAATTGATGGACACAAACTATTTCACAAGTTGTTAGCCTATGAGCGATAACTGATCAGGACACGATGTGATGTTTTTAAGTGTGGAAGCTGCGTTAAGAGTTGGATAGATCTGTATATAGACCTAGCGTGGGTTATAGAGTTATGGCAGATAACGGATATGCTTATATGGATTAAGATGGGTTGAATGAAAGTAGAGGAAACGCAACTGGACAGACAAAAATCATTAAAAAGGTTTACATACGGACGGTATCTTGTCTTCGCCTTTAAACCCTTTTGTGGACTTCTGAGTACGCATGCAGTTGTGATTACGGGGCGAAGTCCAACAATAACCTATACTCGGTCAAACGTGTTAGCCCAACTTATCGTAACGTAAACACACAATTTTCCTTTGGTTTCCTTTGTGGTTGTCGTAAAATTATATTTAGGGTATTTAATTATTCAAATAGTATAGTGAAATTAACTATGAAAAAGAAACAGTATGCTGTATAGATAAAATTAATTTGATTAATTTATAGCGTTTCTTCTAGTCGTTATATAGTTGATATATTGCGACATACGGCAAAGCGTGTACGATGATGAAACTTCTCGCAAGGCAGTTGTAAAACGTCCATCTGCTGAGTACATGAACGTTGCTGTCAAATCTGGTTAGTTGGCACTTCCTGATTCAAGCTTAGTGGATAAACAGGTTCGTATGCAGATAAAAAAATACATAGAGACAACATATGTCTTTAAAGATACATTATGGAAACTACATTAACCGATGAACTATGATTGTTCGCTGTTTAGCTTACTTTCACAATTCTTGATGTACTTACTTAGCGATATTTCTCGGGTGCAGGACACTTATTTCTCTATTCCAGACTTTTTATTTCATTTGTGTTGGTGCTGTTACAATCTGTTCATGTAGGTTATTCCAAATATGCGCACATCGTTGTATGAAGTAGTTTATCTAAAGTGAGTTACTCTGCTGTTTGTAGACTTTAATGAACATCCTGTATTCCTTTGACGTTTTGATCGGCCCTTCCATATTTTAACGCATTTCCTTGCCTTGGGGTCATAGTACTCATGGATAACCTTGTGTATCTCGATCTTGTGTCCCCATCTTCTTCTGTAAGCTAATATTGGTAGTTTGTGTCTTCTTGGACACGCTAGGTAACTCGAACCTGTATGACGTGGTCATTGCTTGGTTGATTTTCTCTGTACTCCTTCATTTTTTTCTATGTATTTCATTTTATATGGGTACCTTATTGGACTGGCAAAATCAAGATGGTCCTCACAACTTTTTTGTAAAGTTATTAGAACTTGTCAGTATCCAGTTTTGGAACGCTCTTCTTATTATGGCAAACATAGAATTGGCGTAAATTTGTAAGTTTGTAACCAGTCGATTTTGATGTACAATTAATAAACAAGGTTATCAAGGTTGTATCACTATCCCAAGATATTTGACTGTTAATTTAGTCATCAAACAATTCCACTATTTTGTGTTATTTCATACTTATACAGTCTACACTGGCCAACATTCGTAATTTGATAGATTTTATAACATATTCCTAGATTTTATTCCCAAATGATAAAATGTCCCTTAGTTTCTTTCTCCAACCAAGGATGCTAGACATAGAGCAACAGGAAACAGATAACATCCATATTAGTGAAATTCTATTTTTACTGTGACATTATGTTATAATAACACCTGGATGAAATAGTAAGTTATTTTATTATTTTTTAATCTAGAGGTCAGAGTTTCCTTTTTCTAGGTAAACAGTATAAATACTGTATATACGCTATAATCTGTCTTTGTCATTGATTAGCAGAATATAGTTCGAAGGGTTCTGACAATTTTATTTTTGTCTTGGTCTCAGTCACTTGTGTGTCTTATCTTAGTCAATATTCTGTCAACTACAACCAAAAAAAAAAAAACCCAAACTCATGGGTTGAAAGTCAGGGTCTCTCAGATTATATTCTGTTAATCAATGAAAACCATATTCATATTTAGAAGATGAATGTTCAGATCACCTAAATTTTCTCATTAAGTGGAATTTCCCTCTGGCTTGTAATGTTGGGTAGTATGAAGATACACTATAAAGCCCCCTCATTTTTCGATGTATTATACCAGGAAGTTATTTTCACTTCTTCCTCCCTCCCCAATGTTCATTGACAAAAACATGTATGGTATATTTAATAATACTGTAAAGAAAATGTGAACATAAGCCAGAGCACAATACAGTGACTGTTTGAAATTTGAAACCTTTTGTAGACTATGAATGCTAAATATATCACCAAGTCATTCAGATTGCATCATCTGCCTTATAGTATCTATATTTAGCTTTTTTTCTATTTTAAGTACTTAAAAGATCCATAGTGGTTGAGAATCAAGAATGGCAGGAAGTGGGACAGGTCTCTCTCCCGAGGAGAAATTTTCGTTGATTACTCGAAACTTACAGGTAATACTCATTTTAAGGCGAACATGTATCTGATGTGTATCAGCAGATGTCTTAGACACCAATACATATATATATACACACATGTGTGGCAGGTTTTAATTGTATGTAGATATGGTTACCTTGAAGTAGAGGGAATTTCAGTTTAGTTCAATTCTTCCCTGGTCGAGCCACAGATCAGTTTTCCAGGGGTCAAAGGATTGTGACCATCTTAGATTTTGATTGGTGGAGAAGATTTTCACACTCTGTTGAGAATATGAGAGTAAATAGAATGGTGCCATTAAACTATTTGAAAAGTAGGTAAAAAATCCAGTATGGCCACCATGATGTCATAGGTCAAAATCTTAAAAATGACAACTCAAAAAATGTTATTTATTCAGCATTTATGCAAACATATAATTCGTAGGTAATCCATAGGACCATTTTTTTGTCTTTATGTGGTATACAAAAAGGATTAAATACAATTTTTGCTGTTGGGTCAAAGGTCACAAATTTCAAAAATGTTTCATCATTCAACTTCCTGGAAAAATTCTTGTTCTTATTGTTAGATGTCAACCCATTGAATTTGATAAGTTTGATAATAGGAATGGCCTTTTCTCACTTTCAAGGTGATGGTTGAAAGGATAATGTAGGGAATAAAAATAAACTACATTATTTGAAATTTTTTAGATTATGAACAGACGACTTTGATTAATAAGAACTCATTATTGATTATTTTGACAATAGATGATTGTTTGTGTATAGTTTTATTTTCAAAATTTTACTGTCCTTATATTTTAGTACCTGATTTATTTTTATGCAAATCTAAAATTCATATATAATTACATGACTTTCAATTTTTATATTTTTCAATTGAAAATTTCCTAGTTTAATAATAAGTAGGGCTTAAAATAAGGTGATGCTGAAAATAATCCCACATTTGCTTTTATTCATATACCTAAAATAAGTTTTGTTTACCTGTGAGGAGATAGGATGGGGGAAGAGCAGTAGCTTGTGTCCAGACCACCATTTCAGAAATTTTGATGAGTACCATTACTAAGAGATGTAATAGATCTTCAGAATTTGGGTGATGAGTCTCACAGGAAAAACATGATCCAGGACTTAAATATGCAAGTCCCAAAAATCAGTGGAGAGGAAGTAGAAGAATTAAATGCTGAAAATGAAGTAACCAAATTTCTTTGTTAGGCCCTTATTATAAAAGAACTATGGTTTGATAGTGTAATTTATTGATGTCTGTAGGAGACGATAGGTGAAGAGAAGCTGAAAGCAGTATTAAAGGAACGGGATGTGAAAATCTATTGGGGAACAGCCACTACAGGCAAGCCTCATGTGGCGTACTTTGTACCCATGTCAAAGATCGCAGACTTCCTGAAGGCTGGGTGTGAGGTATGTTGTATAAAGATAAGCGACTGATTCAAGTCAGAATGTATAACTGACAGACTGTAATACACTATCCCTATAATTTGGTTTTTAAATCTTTAGCTTAAAACATCATTGTATTTGTTCTCTTATGTAATTGTGAGTAAGTTCATTATTTCTGATTGAAATATGCCACAAGTTTTAATGATAGAAATTAGAGTTGATGTGCTCCTCCATTTTTTTTGACATATCAAGCATGCCTGATTTAATGTCCTATGAAGAGTGGACAGTCATTTTTAACTATATAAGAGGCATCTATGCTTACTTTTTGATAACAATGAAACTATTTTGCACAAGCCAGGAGATTATTGTAATGGTTGGTAATTCAAAAACACTTGTCATTGAAAGTTGCCTGGTTCTTAACACAATTCATTCTGGCTGTAGAAAATGGACAAGGTTTTGAAAACTAAACTTTATTTATTACAATTGTTGGGAAACAAGTTTTTCTAACTTATATTAGTCCTCATATTGTGACAGATGAAATCTCACAAGGGGTCTTACTGTTGGGAGGAAACCAGAGTACCCGGGGAAAACTCACATGGTTGGGCTGGTGAACCCATACTTGTTCATGTCCATTTGGGGGATCAAAACCCAGGATATCTATGTGAAAGGGGAGTGTGTTACCACTGAGCCACCTGACCACTCATAAGCACTATTGTAATAACATACTGTATGTTTGTTATCAGTAGAGGTTGCTAAAAGTAGAATTATATTTCAAAGTACTGATGTGTATTGGAGAGTTTTCACACCTCATCTATATACAAATGTACTAATGTTTGACTAGTATTTTGTGTAATGTTGAATTGTATGATATATTATCAGGTGACCATCTTGTTTGCTGACCTTCACGCCTACCTTGACAACATGAAGGCACCATGGGAACTATTGAACTTGCGTGTCATGTACTACGAAGCTGCAATAAAAGCCATGCTTAAGTCCATTGGTGTTCCTCTTGATAAACTTAAGTTTGTTAAGGGCACTGACTTCCAACTTAGCAAGTAAGTCAAACATGTTCAGAGTATAAACAGTTTTGTCTATTCTTGTACCAATCAAGTGATGCCTTGTGGTGTTACTAACCCTGAATTTACTCTGGCCCCAAGATCAAGACCGAAGAGGTCAGAGTGCACCCTGGTAAAACTGAAAACACAAATTCTCAGATCTGAGACTAATTGCTTTTGAGATGTAAAAAGTGCTGACTGACATTGGACTTACCTCCTATATAATTATCCAAATATTGTAGAAAATGTAGACAAACTTACCTTAACAGGAAAATAATAACATTTGGTATTTTATTCTTCAGGGAGATAGCCCAAGTTTCACCATTTACAATAATTAGATGCTCTTTCTTCCAAAGTTATCTTAAAAATATACATATAGTTATAGAAATATAGGCTTTTGTACATTCATTTTTTATAATTGAAAGATGATATATTGAAATGTTGTGGTGTTTGGCATTTGAAGAGCAAAAAATCTTGATATATTGTTTTCTGGGAGTATTTGAGAAAATGTTTTAAAAGCATTTAAGTGTGACAAGTTTCTTAATATTTTCATTACAGAGAGTACACATTAGATGTCTACAGACTGTCGTCACTGGTGACAGAACATGATGCCAAGAAAGCTGGGGCAGAGGTAGTGAAACAGGTTGACCACCCCCTGCTTAGTGGACTGCTCTACCCAGGACTGCAGGTAGGACTAGACTATTTGTAATAGAGGGGAAACAAGAACGGCAGTGGCATTATTTTCTTTTATCTCACCACAAGTTAACACTATGAGATCATATATTCGTCCAAGATTCAGAAAACGTAAATGTTATCAATCCTTTAAAACAAATTAAAAAGTAAGTTTTCTTCTAAAATAATGTACACAGAGATTATAAAGAGAACTTTGTTGGTCCTCCTAATCTTGTCACCCTCAGTTTTATTTCTGTGTATCATTTGAGTTTTGTGTCTACCTACATCATTCACAATTTGTGTACAGGCTCTTGATGAGGAATACCTCAAGGTTGATGCTCAATTTGGAGGAGTTGATCAGCGCAAAATATTCACCTTTGCAGAAAAGGTAAGTGTAGCATTGTACTTACAAATAGAACAATGTTAACTGGTACTGAACCAGTAATTTTGTCTTACCTAAATGAAGTCTAATGCTTAACGTGGACAGTCTTTCCAACTCTGTCTACAAATTGTTAAAGGATCGGTTTGTCATCAATCATGGCCTCACAAATGAAGATGTTTGAAATTGATTAAAGTAATAACATCATTGAAGATTAGCGGAGTGTCTGAAATAGAGAGGGTTTTGGAATGATCAGATTGTGAAGTAACACAATTGATTCATGTGGTTTTGTTTTCAGTACCTTCCACATCTAGGATATGGCAAGAGAATCCACATGATGAATCCAATGGGTGAGTTAAGTCAGTGTCATTAACTGTTACCAACAGCTGGCATCAGCAGGACACAATAATCACTACAAAGATATTACTAACATAACTCGAGACTAGTAAACACTCAGTACCTACTGTGTATGTTGGATTGGTTGGTTGATGTGTTTAACATCAGCTTTCACCAATGTAACCAGTGTTCAGCAGACAGAAAGGGGTGGCCTTCATCCTGGTGAGACATGGCCCTGTCTGTCTATTATATTGCCAGAGTTTTGGGCAGAAGCTCTGGAGTCCCTCAGATTCTGTTGAAGTAGCCTTCCTCAGTCAGATACTATAGCTCCAAAGCAAAAACTGCAGTAATCAGCATTGTTTATCTGTGGTGTAACTTCATTGATTTGGTCATTAAATCAAATTGATGAAGTTATAATGTAGTAAAGTGTACTGAGATATGCTATGTGAAAGATAATGACTGGTAACAAACCAGTAGTGATGTTGCAATTGTGATAGTAGCTTAACAGAAAGTAAATCGTTGGTAACTAACCTGTTGTGATGTGGAAATCATGATTGTAGCGTAACAGAAAGTAAATCGTTGTTAACTAACCAGTAGTGATGTGGAAATCATGATTGTAGCTTAACAGAAAGTAAATCGTTGGTAACTAACCTGTTTTGATGTGGAAATCATGATTGTAGCTTAACAGAAAGTAAATTGTCGGTAACTAACCTGTTGTGATGTGGAAATTGTTTTTGTATATGCACCAGAAAGTTAGCTTACAGTAAAATGCCTATATTTGTACCAGAATTGAAAAATAATATTCAAATTTTGACATTTACATTATCAACCTGGAATTTAGACCATGTTAATTTGTGTCCTCTCTTTTTCAATAGTTCCAGGACTCACTGGGACCAAGATGAGTTCTTCAGACGAATCATCCAAGATTGACCTGCTCGATTCTCCTGCCCAGCTGAAGAAGAAGTTAAAGTCGGCCTTCTGTGAGCCAGGAAACATCAAGGATAATGGTGTCCTGTCCTTCTGTAAATTTGTTCTCTTCCCGCTGTCTAAGACTGGAGGTAGATAAGCCAACATTTTGTTTTTATCAGCCATAAAATCATTTGGCAATACATTTTTCATATGCCTACTCATTATTGTTTAAATGCTTCCATGAACAAAAATTTACTGGTTTTGATTGGTTAATTAATATTAATTGACTTGTACCCAGTTACCATTGTACCTTAATTGTTTTCTTAGAAAGCCTTACTTTACCTCATCTTTCCCTTTTATTTGTTCTTGAAAGTCCTCCCCTTATTTAGACACCATATTTATCCTGGACCAGCAACAGGACAAATACAATCAGTTTGTTATTCCTGAATGTCCTGGACTGGGCTTATAACAGGACAGGTAGATACCATTGGTTTCTTATTTTACTGAATAACAATATATATGAGTGGGCTTTTTACCAAATAGAGTTTTCCTTACTTGTGTATTTGATTTAAAAGGAAACATTTTCTGACTTTTCATAACTGTGAAAGAATAGTTGCTGTATTTGGCATAGAAATGAAAATACAAAGGAATTGAAAAAAACAATATCTTTTCTTTCAGAATTCAAGGTTACAAGATCACCTGAGCATGGTGGAGACTCACTGTATTCATGTTTTGAAGATCTTGAAGTAGCCTTTGAGAAGGAGGTAAAATATTCATTGTGACATAAACCCAGTTATACATGTAAAGAAACACTGTAATAAAACCACTGAAGCTGTTACTGGTATTCCTGTTTAAATTTCCATCATTGAATTAAAAATCAAATTATGGAAAAAAGTTTGAAGATTTCTAATATTTCCCTTTAGTGTTAAAATTTTGCAGCTTCTAACTAAAGTTCTGCACACGGCTCTGACATATCACAATGCAAAGAAATAATTGCTGACATAAAGTCATTTTATATATCATGATGTCTTTCTGAAGGAACAAGCAAAATCACGCATACAAAATGTTACATGAACTTTTGAAACTAACATTGATATCAGATAGAAGGGAGATAATTCTGAAATCCATACTATAGGAGGTACACCCTGGTGACCTGAAGGCTGCAGTGGAGATTTACCTGAATGAGCTGTTGGAGCCGATCAGAGCTGAGTTCTCTACTGATGAGCTCAAGAAGCTGACTGGCAGAGCATACCCAGTGGAGAAGAAAAGTAGGTATTAGAGGAGATGTGATATATTTCTCAAAGTATACTTTTTTATGAGAAATTTGGTATACAAAGAGTGGGTACCCAGCCATGTTTGCAAGACTGAGTCCCATACTGAAGACTGGGTACTCAGTCACATATGGAAGACTGGGTACTAAGTCATGTTTGGGTACTCTTTCATGTGACTTGTCAAAACCTTGCATATCTCAGATTTTATGGGTGCTTTGGATTTCCTTCGGTAACTTATATAAAATCTGAAATTATTATTTTTCCCTGAATATGCCACAATAACAAGCTAACAGTTTGAAATATAGCTGTGCAATTCATTTGCCCCCAACTGGGAATCAGGAGACTATAGTTTTTTGCATTGTCTATTCATTCTTCCATCTGTCCCTCCGTCTTTCTGTTTTCTTGTCTGGGGTCTATCACCTACACTATTTCTCACTGGAACTTCAAACTTATTTGAGTATGGTTTCACCTTGGTCAGGTGGTGTTTAATGAATCAAAAGTAGGTCACGTCTAACCTTTCAACTACATCAAAGAGAAAGTTTATTCAGGTTCTCTCTACTATGCTACTAGTGACTAGAATGTCATACTTGAGGTAAGGGTTTGTGAGGATGTGTGTCATAAATCAAAAGTATGGGTAGGTCACTCTGACCTACATTTAACATTACACCTAAATCAAAAGCAAAGATTGTCCTAGCTCTATTTCCTACACTACTTTTCACCTGACCTTCATATTTGGTGTTTTGTCCAAGCTCTATCTTCTACACTACTTGCCATGTGAACTTCGAACTTTGTGTGTGGGTTCACCTTGATGAGGAGGTGTGTCAGTGGGACTGTGCTTTGCAGAATTATTGTTATTAATAGATGAATATGATTTCTATCATATGTTATGCAAAATATTTGTTATAAACTGTAAGGGAAATTAAATTGTTTGATTATTCTGACTCTAGAGAAGCCTGGTCAGAAGGGAGCCGCAGGGACAGCTACTGAGGACACGCTGACACCAGACAGACTAGACCTGAGGGTAGGCAAACTTCTTTCGGTGAAAAAACATCCTGATGCAGATTCATTGTATGTAGAGTCTGTAGATCTTGGAGAGGAAGCTCCTCGGACAGTGGTCAGCGGGCTGGCTGGACTTGTACCAATGGAGGAGCTTGAGGGACGCATGGGTGTATTTCTGTGTAATCTCAAACCACAAAAGATGCGAGGCATTGAGTCTCAGGCTATGCTAATGTGTGCAAGTGTGGACGATCCACGAGTTGTAGAGCCCCTTGATCCACCAGAGGGAAGTGCTACAGGAGAAAAAGTCTTCTTTGATGGCTATGATGGCAAACCAGATGAGGAACTCAAACCAAAGAAGAAGGTCTGGGAAAATTTGCAGGTATGCATGTCTCAGAATGCTTATAACAATTTATTTTGTAAGGCTAAGAGGTTGATCTTGTCACTGAATTGCATCACAAGTCACTTATCCTCTCATGGTTAACAGAGGTTTTGTATGTACAAATTATCTTAAATTACTGATAGCATTGCCTTAAATGTCTTGAACCAAATTTAGGAAGAAGTAGATCATGAGTATACTAGCTACACTTGTGCAACAAATTTTCTTTTTGTCAGAAAATATGTTCAAGTGAATTAGGAATGACCAAAATTTTATTGTCACCGAAATTAACACATTCAGTTTTTATCGGATCTTGTGTTTTAGTTTTTGAATTCTCTTTGTTATAGACAAAAAATCTTAAATATGTTTCCTTCTTTCTCAGCCTGATCTACGAACCAATGGTGATTGTGAAGCAGAATGGCAAGGAAGTACAATGAAGACAAAACTAGGGAACATCACTTGTAAAACACTGAAATCTTCACCAATTAAATAATCCTGTTGACAACCAAAATCTTAACCAGTTCCTTTGATAGACTTGGTGCGTACAGTAATATTGCCCTTTCAACTTCTTAAAAATAACCCTAAGAAATTTGTAAGTAAATAGTATGATATATATGTTATAAGATTCAGGATTTCTTATTAGCAAGCTTTCAGGTTTTGTTGAATATTTGAAGTTGCTGTAGTAAACTTCAGATTATTTCCTATGATTTATCAGGGTCTTTATTTGTAAGGTTGTTCCAATCTGTATAGAACAGATGAGATACCCAAACTGTTACAACTGTTACATAAGTTTTGGGTCAAAAAGAACTATTTTTAAATTTCAGTTTATTTCTTTTTTTTTCTGTAATACTTAATGTGTGAACATAGCACAGGTATGCATTTTGTAAACATTATATACATAGCTACAGATTTTGAATACTAACATTTTCATCAATAGCAAAATGGCCCCCTCATCCAAGTATCCCCAAGGATACAACAGATGACAGGCATTCTGTGAGCTCTACGCGGATGTTAAATTTGACCAATGTATTTATTTCAGGGAGACTTTAATGCTATATCTGACCGCTCCTCAGGACTTAGGTTTAAAATACCAGAAAAAATTACCAAACATTTCAAGTTTTAAGTTATTTAGGATGTCTCAGAAATAGGAGATAATGAAAAAAATTGGTTATCTGAGTAGTCCAGTCAATCATAACCAAGACAGAAACTGGAACTACATGTATATAAAGCCTTCCAATGTGATAGTGGCTTCAAGTTATCAGAGTCAGATAAGGAATCTTGACTGTAATTTAACTGGAACATTCTATAGAAATTTAGGTTTTAATGCCGATATACATACGAGGCCTCTGGCCAGGCAATTTATTTTTTAGACTTTGTTATGATAGATAAAGTCTCAAAAAGTTTAAACCTCAAAAACAGTTTGAAAAGTTGATTGATTGATCAACGCGTGTAGTACCAAACTTGCTATATTTATATATCTTGGGAATGCAGAATGTCACAAACCAATTTAAAGTTTCAACGATAAATATTTGCAGAGTTATTGCCCTTTGTCACCAAAACTTGTTTCTTCTGAAAGTGTTCTTTAAGATTTCTTTCAAGTATGTATGGGAATGATATTTTGACCATTTTTGCAGATAAGATTTACTATATTTATCTGAAAGTTTGCTCACTAATATTTGTAACCCTTTCATAATACAAGCATATACAGGCTTACTTGCAGATAAATATGGTATAAACTGATCTACATTGAATGTTGGATACATGGTTTAATTAACATGCGACATGACAGAGTTATATTTCTCACATATAATATACAGTATTACTGTACATTTCTTTGTCTTTATATAATCTGAAAACCATGCTGTAACGTAAGCAGTGCATATGACTAATATTGCACCTGTTTAATGAAGTCATATGAAAGCTTATCTGTATTATAAAATACATAAAATCACTGGGGACATACTTCCTTGCTTCAGGACCAATGTATATATTGTCCTCATACACATTCAATAACTATATATATCAATACGCTTCCATTGTCTGATATTCCAACACTGTGATATTATGTAAATTAACACACTGCCATATCAATTGAATGTTTTTAATACCAGTAACAACCATCACATTGAAGTGCACTCTGTATGAGTTATTTCTTCTAAGTTCTGTGCACAACATCGCAAGGTTGTCGAGGGTAATGTAAAAATGCTTTCAATGACTCTGACGGCTTACAAGGATTGTAACACTCAACTGAAGCTGACTATTAGGGTCAAACACATAGCGGGCCCTTTCTGACTTGTCAGTGCTCTAGTTTTAGATATATTAACTGGTGCGAAATGTGCATTATTTTCTCCACTATCTCTTTAAATGTTAATGAATTGATGTGAAAAAGTGAGAGAATGCTGAATAAATAATACAACAATTTATTTGATTTGTTGTCTCTTTGAAGCTGTGGAATTTGTTTCAGATTGTCATCATCAAGTAATTTCTTCATCCTATACAGGAACTGAGACTGTTTCAATTACTGCATCACATATATCTTAACAGGATGGGCTTCATACAAAAATGTACCATGAAAAGATGGTAGACTTAATGTATAGGAACATTTCAAAGTGTTGTGTGCTCTACCAAGGTCCTTGTCACCTCTCCTCACCTGAAATACACAAGTTTGTAGAATTCTCTTTCTTATGTTCCCATTGTGTTCAATATATTGTCACCTGATGAGACTTCATGTCACATTTCGATAGTTCGTTAGTACTGAGCATTCATCAGAATTTCAGGCCAGAATATAAAAGAAAGTTTCTGTTAAAAGCAAGAATTTACAGTCCTGTTCTTATCTCCGGGATCTAGAACATCCTACAACAGTGAAGGAAGGCAGCTTAAAGCACAGTATTTTTTAGCATTTTAGTTCAACTAGATTGCTAAATATGTTTCTGGTAACCAGAAGTTACAGGATATCATAGTTCCATCACATATAACACAGAAATGATATAAGTGTATAAAATATTTATTGCTTTACATAAAATTTATAGGTTATAACTATACAGCTATATACACATATTTACATGTGAAAATCACAGACATTTGAGTTGGATACCCCAGTGTAGGCAGGAATGTGAGGTAAAATTTTAACCCATGTGGAATCATATGAAGCAGATGATTTAGGACACAGAATGTGAAGTGGAATTATGTTTACACTGTTCACAGAAACATTCAAATCAAAATGTAAGACAGTAAATATGACATCAATAACTTGAATCAAAATCAATTTTCTTTTCACAAAAATTGAAAAATTATCAAATATCAAATCATCCATGTTAAAAAAAATCATCTTGTGCTTGACAAGTATTTCCTGCCCCAATCCTACCACCCAAATTTGGGTATAATGAAAAACAAATACACCCAACACTACTCTATTATGTTATTGTTCTTTTGTTTGTACTAATTACCATTGGTAGCAGTAATAGGTGAAATATGGTAAAAGTCTTTCCCTGTGTATTCAGGAAATATTAATATCATTGTTTGTGATTACCAGGTAAACACAATATGTGCTCCAAGGGAAATCATTTCATAGTGTACTTTAACACTAGACAAATGAAACTACCCTTTAAAAGAAAATCAGCCATTCAAACAGGTAAAAGAATATCGAGCCCTGTATTAAATACATTTAAACAAGTAATGGATTAAGTTAAAATTTTGCCTTGACCATACTTATCGAGATAACAATGACAAATTTTGTAAGCAATCTATATTTTTTTTTAAAAAAATCTTGATTAACACTAAACACATATCACAGACTTGCATGTTCATTTTCACAAAAAATTTCAGTTGGCAAGACAATTCACTAAAATATCATTTACCGTTCTGTACGAACATGGATTCATAAGAGAATGAATCCCAGTGACCAGTGTGTGACCGAGGAACAGGCAACAATTCAGAATTGACACATGTTTATATATAACAAATGACATTTTGCGTCACAAAAATCTTAAGTTAAAAATATGGTTCCTTAGACTTTCTCATGAGTTCCTGGTCAGCTATTTGTTACCAAACATCAAACACAAAACCACTGAAAGATTAATTGATGTATGTTGAAGGTAATAGAAAAACTACATACTGTCCACCAATAATGGTGGTTATATGGGGCAATGTCCCCAGAGATGCCCTGTGAGCTTTCATACAGGCTGTCAATATGATAACAAAGCCAGACATTTTCTCTGTAGTGGAACTTCTCAATTCACTTTTATCTGACATAAAAAGGTTACTCTCAGATCACAGGCAAACAACATTCCATCATTAACTCAATACTGATCAAGTCTTACCATTCACAAGCTGTGAAAGGAACCTGACACCATGCATACACCAAGGACATATAGATTCACAGGTTAAGCAGCCTGCAACAACTGACACTACATCATACTATGTAATATATTTGAATAAATTTACAAATTACATAAATGCACCTTACCTACTTTTTTGGATGGAATACCCTGTTCTGCAAACTTTTCCACTTCCCTACACAAAAAATTATCTTGCCATGCAGATTGATACATGCATTCCCTTCACTCATGAAACAGGAACATTTTAGTTTCCTTTTTCTAAAGCACTAGATTCTGTTTCAGTGACAACCAATGGATTCAGATAGTCTATACAAGGTCATTATCATTGATAGTTTACGAAAGCAAAATTTATTTTGGAAGTGAAAACCGATTACATTGCATGACAACATTTATCATATACATTTCATTTATATATATTATATTTATATATATATGTACTATATGCAAGTTTTTTTTTCTTTATTCTCCATTTCATGATCTTCATTAACTTATAAACTGCAAAGCCTTTAATATATCGGTTATATTTTCACTGAAAAAGTATAACTCTACATATACGTAAATGTAAAGAATTTATTTTAAAAAGAATCCAACTAAATTTTGTTGTTTTTTCCAGAACTTTTCTTGTCATGATTTCAAATATATATATATTTTACATATTTTCTATATTTGGTTTGCTCAAGAATACTTAAGTTTGTATAGTAAGAGTTTTAGTGAATATGGTGTTCCAACACTGAGGGTTAGCAATTATCCCTACCTTTCGTATCAAAACGACATACTTCTATATGAACCATGAAATGAAGATTATTGTCGTGCTCCAGTGATAACTGATAATGGATTTGTATACTGATACCCAGCACAACTAAATCTTGCTTAACGGAAATCCATGAAGTGAAAAGCTGCTCTTATGTATATAAAAACATTACCTGTGAGGGAGATTTTCCCATCTAAGTAACTGTGGATACCATGTTTTCCCAGAACAGAGACTAAAATGCCTGGTCTAATGAGGTCTTACTGTACTATGAGTAACACATACATTTCTGATACAAGACTAATGAATAAGTACAATTAGACGAGATACACACCGACAAGGAAAACATTTCCTGGTCTTTGAATTCTTTAGAGATACATCAATATGACACATACACAAAGACATACCTTTGGGGTTCTATTGTCAGAAATCTATTTATATCTAAATAATTAAGTGCATTAGATTTCTAATTTTGCATCATATTCAAGTAACGATTAAAAGAAAATGATTTGAGCTCTATTTTTTTCTGAGGATAAATAATACCATTACATCAATATTTTGCATATCATTATTTTTCTGGTAATTTTTTCTATTCATATCCTTTTTACTTATTTACTAATCTTTTAAAAAGAAACTGAGTACATGTATCATTTGTGTCCAAATATATGTACTTTTACTTGACAAGTATGGCAAAACTTAATAATACTTTTCAGAACTTATTATAATTTATCTTTATTGAATCTCATAAAAAACCCCAAATGCAGAACACGAGACATGAACATATATAATGGTAATCTAATGTTATTCCCAATGAAGGTCATCTCGTCGTAATGTCGTTTGTAATTTGCGCATGTCCTTTAACACACCAAGTGATACCTCTCGGCCACTTGACGGTCGTACGTGTACGAGACCCGCACCACGTCCCTTCGTTTTTATTGTTGTTGTGACTTCCACTTCAGATGTTGTTTGTGTATAATTTGTATTTGCTGATTTTGGTCGCTGCGTTTTCTTGGGGTGATCAGAACTTTTCTTTTTCTTCTTCTTGAGGTCAAGCTGAAGATATAAAGATGAATTTATTGATTTTAAGTATCATAGATTATTTTTTAAATTGAAAGACAAAATATGTTGTCAATTTTGTCAGTTTAGAGTGAAGAAATACATTATTTATATTAACTCAGTTTAAGGATACATCATAACACTACTATACATTTGTGTAGATATGTTCAGCAATGTAAGATTTATGCCTAACTTGGAGGCCCTAGGCTCTATATACCTGTAATACCTTTTCTTGATGTTTCCTAACTTTTGATATCTGCTGACTTTTAGACTCCATGCGTCCCACCAGTGAGTCCAACTCTCGCTCCAAGTCGTCTCGTACCCGTGAATCTGTTACCTCGTTGATCTGCTTTGACAGTTCCTGATGCTCTCTGTTTACATAACAAGTCATCAAAACAAATTTGAATTGAGTACAGATATGATGCTATGGCCAACGTAAGGTTGTCCATGACAGACAAACCCAGAAAGTTAAATTAAAATCTAGAAACAATGAGACCTACATCTTCATAGATCTTCATAATTTACATTGAGAGAAATATTTGGTTCGGACAAAAAATATTAAGACAGGGTATATTCAAATATTTTTCTTCATTTGTTTATTGATCAATTTTTTTCTTTCTAAATTCAACTAGCAGATTGTAACAGTTGATGTTAACAGTGACCCAAGATCACTTACACACTCATCTGTCCAAACTCATCCTGGAGTTGTAGCAAGAGTTCGGCAAGGTCGTGGTCCAGACCATCTGAACTTGACCCGGACGATGTACTGGAAGACCTCTGAGTATCACATTGGTCAGCGGAGGAACACAAAGCCATGTTATGTGACTTCATCAGCGACAACACACGCTGGACATTAGCACCAACAGAATGACTAGGGGTAGAAGACTGAAAAAATATAAGACAGAAGGACATATTAACTGTCCAAATGGAACTTGGATACTAAGGACCTTAAAGCTGCTACAATCTGATTAATTTAACCTCAAAACACTGGCTTAGGAAATACCAATCTGACATGGCCTTGACAAAATGACCTTGATATGAAACTCTCTTGTTTGAAATTTCTGAATACTGACCTTGCCAGCTACAAATGGAATGTCAGCGAGGTTAAGTCTGTAATGTTTGAGTGCCTCGCGCCGTCTCTCTGGCTCCTGCTCAGCTGGCTGTGTCTTCTGCTTCTTGTTTGAAGCTGATTTTTTCTTTTTCTTTACTTTCTTTGTCCGTGCTGATGTTGGCCGTTTCTCAGGAAATGCACCAGCATTCATCAGTATTCTGTTTGTATGTGCTTCTGTCTCCAGCTAATTCAAGAAACAAGTATGAAAACAAGACTCAAGTTTACCATATAGCTGTTTAATTTTACAATGCTAGTTTTTCACAATTGTCCGTATTCAGTCTAGTTCACCAAGATAACTTTGCCAATGTGTATTCATAGACTTCATATAAACATGCATACAACATGCATTCCAGATATTCTGATTCATTGGCAAATGATTTGCAGGGAATGCAATTTTTACGATCTTTAGAGGGACTAAACGGTTCAATTTCATTATTGTTTTCCATACATTTGATTTCGGGCAAGCATTGTAATACTTAGAATTAGACTATTCACACAATTATAGCAGTCTTTCAAGAGAAAAATTGATAAAGATTATCAGCTTCAAACTAGCACTGGTTGGTATTCGCCGTTATTTCTACTGTCATTCACTGTTGTGATTGGAGATATCCAAGTTTATCACGTGACATCTCCGAACCTTTGTTTTAACTCCTATTTCATTTTGATTTTTTGATATTTTTAATAAAGTGGTTATGCAAACTTTTAAATATAATAATTAACAGGTGGTATACATTTCTTAACAGATACTTATAATGTTTTTTATCAGTTACAAAATAAAAATCTATTCATCTAGTATCTTGGATGACCAGGAATGTAGCGAATTTTTATCTCCCATGAATATTACTAACCATAATATGTGATTATTGCTAACTATCCAGACTGCAGTTATATTTTCACAAAAAACTCCGACATTGTAGGTATGTAAAATAGGATTTACTACTACAGCTTCGTTTTGACTTGTTAGAAATTTGTAGTTAACATTGAAATTTCATAAACTGAAAATGAAATTGACTTAATTCAAACAGGTTCTGAATTCCTCCATCAAACATTTGTGCCAAAAAACTCAGTAATAAGCCCACCTGTACACACGACTGTAATTCAGTTGAATACCAACGTCTTATTCATTGTCCGGCCTTAAGCTCATCCACAAGCTCCCTAATACTAGATTATTGGATTTCTGCGATTACATTTTACAGAAATTTATTCTTTATGATGTAGAAAACATGACATACCACTGCTGTTTTTTCTGACATCAACTGTCTTTGAAGGCGTTCTTCTTTAATCTTCTCTTCCAAGTCTCGGATTTTACCCTGAAACAAGACAGATAATTAATGATATAGAAATTACAATTTTCTTGTGAAGGATCAAACATGTTTGTACCTAAATGAGCTTTGCCTAAAACTGTTAAAAAAGCTCAACATAAACAAGAGACCCACTTGGCCTGTATTACTCATCTCCTCTGCCGCTTAAGAAGAGAAAACTTCATAAGGAAAATTTATTTGTCAGATTTTATCATCATTGTAGACATAAAAGCCCTATTTCCATTATGCTGTAGATAAAACAATATTACCCTTCTGGCAGGTGAGTTTATGACACAGATGAATATAACTAATTTGTATAGTATATCTTCAATGTACAGAGCTAAGTAATTGTAAGTACCAGTCAATTTCAAATGTCGGTTACTGTGATATTGTACTATATTTCAATGTCACTGGTTCCTTACAGAATATTTTCTAACTATCTACAGGTTTGATGTCCAAAGATGGGGAAAAAGAAAATACCATTAAACATGTTTTCAAAATTATCCAAAATTATAATATCTTTTAGGCAGAGTTCCTGACCTGCACCTCTTGTAGTGAAAAAGCATTCTCTATCATGTCGAAAACACCAATATGTTAGAAACCATGGAAAAACATTATGTCTTGATATCGCTTTCTAGATATTAATTTTTTCCCTTAGTTTTTTCACCAAGCTGTATGATAATCATGATTTCAATTTCCCTATTGTAAATTTTTATTGTGCATCCCCAACCTATTGTGTTTACAGGTTTTTTTTTATATTCAAGAACCTGTTCTCGACATGATTTTCTTGATGTCATAGACTGACAGACAAGCTCATGGTTTCAAAAGATGCAGATTGATGGAAATTATGAGGAAGTTTCATGGTCGTCATAGCGATTCCATTGAAAATATTTCATTTCTTTGTGTGATATGAAGCTTGATGTGCTTGATACTTGGTAGTTAGCTTGTTGGCTCTGTTGTTGTATACCTTGTTCTCATTTGAGAATGTGACATCACTTACTTTGATTGACCTAGAGTTACATGGTGGGTGTTGTTGATAAAGCAGAACTCCCCTGAAACATCTGGTCTTATTCCCCTTGTAAATCTTTATTTTATTCACATTTTGTCCTAGTTTTATTGAACGAGTTTGGATTATAATTATGTTCACATGTTGGTACATTCTGACTTAAGATTTATGAAATAAAGTATATAGATATCTCTTACAAAATAATACATGAATGGTCCGTCATAGCCAGTCACTATTCAACAGCAGCCATACTTTTATTCACTGCAAGAATTCTAAATTTCTTACTTCTATTTATAGAACAAGGTAAAGATTTTAAGTCAGTTCAAACAAAATTAAATAAATACTGTTCAACTTTGTTTGTCTGCTGAAAAAAAGATATTCCATTTCACATGAACCTGAATTTGAACGATCCAAAATGACATCACCTAAAATCTCTTCAATGTAAAACATTCTCAGTAAATACAACCATTTGTACTTATTCTTATATTTACAAATACAAAAGAATGCCAACGTCCAAAATTGTTATCTTCAACAAACTAATTTTTACAACTATCAGATGTTTTTCTGAACAAACATTAAACCCCTATGATGCTATACCACTGCTTTTGTTTGCTTATTTCTTGATTTTTAGACCACACTGTGTAACATAACATAGCCATTACAATGAACTACAAACAACAATACAGACACATTGTCTTAAATCATGATGTACACATTAACTATTAATTACCAACACAAACCCACTGAAGCGTGACAAACAATGCCCTGGGTTAATAAATATTTGATGTTGACTTCTCTTCATAATGATTATCAAAAATGTCAACACTACAAAATGTATTGATCCAATTTGTGTCAGTCTGAAAACAATTCCAGTTGCATCCCTGCCTACAGCGATAATATCCGCACAACAGGCATGTACCAACAGTAAAGCAATTATATACAAAACTACACAGAGCAGGAAACTCTCAACACTGATCCAGTATGTGTACCTATGTATATTTATGGAGTTTTAAATCCCAAAAACTGAGTTTTGATCCGAGTACAACACACAGTAAAATTTGAAGATATAAAATCAAATTGTTTCATCCTAGAAATGCAATAACATAACATCAGCATCTTATCTCAAAACATCAAAAAAAAATGACCATCTTCAGTCTAAATCCTTTTTAACTGATATTTGATAATATTACCATCGTCATCATTTCTTTAGCTTTGTGTCTCTCTGACTTTCTAAATAACACTGACATATACTCAAACAGCAACTGATGTACACTAACAGCTTTCAGACAAGCAAAACTTTATTAAGCAAATTCTGAGCATGTCTGAAAATGTTGATCTAAACCTTACTACTCACTAATTTGTTATTTAATTATAACTTTGACCTTCACTGCTTCTGAAAATCCATTCCTCTTTCACCAAGTCAGAATTAAATTACCTTCCTCTATGTATTTAGGTACAATATAGTATTCAGGTGAGATGTTAAGATGATTGACAAATATTACACATGGCAGCTAATCTCTCCATACACATTTACTTATAAACAGTTTACCTGGGTATTGTTTGGAAATGTGAGTGAGTTTCCTGACACACTTCACTAATAAACCAACAATAAACACTCCCTTGTCCGGCCTCTCAAGTCCTAAAACAAACACTACACTGACCAAGAGCAATTACAACCAATCATGTGTTGATACAGCACCTTTCTTCAACACACAGTGGACAAATGTGACTAAACACAGAAAACTAACAGATGATAAGGATTTTTTTTATCAAGACAATTTTAATATTCAAACATTCAAAATGGACTATGATATAGAGATTTTTTAGACAAACTTGTCAAATCCTGATACTTTGAGAAACTGAGGAGTAATCTTACTGCATCTATACTGCTGTGTTTGAACACAAATAAGCCCAATCTTGCTTATAAGTCCTCTCTCCACTTCAGAAAATGTCTTACAAATACTTGAGGGGTACTTGCTATGAAGCCCCTAAATCCTTCCTGTCTCCTTTTTTCTGAAGTTCTATAGTAAAGATTACCTAGTAACGTTTCTGACATGTTTGTCCTGAGAAAAAAAGTGAAAAACATTTGAGTTCTTTCATGTGTACACAGAGAAAAATAAGGATATAAGAAACGTGAAGTAGTAGTTGCTCTACTTTGTGGTTTACGGTAATGTGAACTGGTTTTTTAAACTCATTTAAAATTCTAATTGACCTCTATAGTGACCCATGCTTTAGTATGACAGATGTATAAAGATAAGAAACCAAAATAGTGTGAATATAATTTGTCCTGTACAAACATCCCTACCTTTCTCCTGTGTCAAAAGCTGGAAATGTACATGTAAATCGTATTTACCAAATTGATTTCTATTGAAAATGACATACATATAAATTGAATAGTAAAAACACATTTTGAGAAGCTAAAGTACCTTCCTCATGCATTACAAATATTGAATAAATACCTATATGATCAGAAATAGAATTTCTAGCATTCACTTCACAGCTGATACATTTCTAGCCTTCTGTCATATCTAAAAAGATTGTTCTGAATATAGTAAAAATTGCGACACATATTTGATGAGTAGGGTATCATTTTGGAGAATCACTGTTCTATGAATGAACAGTCTAAAATTCTCTAGATTTACTTATTCAAAGAAATCACTTTTAATTACCATATCCTTTCCCTGTTATCCAGACAGGAAACATATGAAATGAAAACTAGGACGTCCCTTACAGGCAGGAACTTGTACCTCATCAAATATTCCGAAAGAATAACTTTACTTCATGTAAAAGCATGCCATGAATTTTTAATTTTCATCAATTCTGTGAAATAGCGAAATCTGAAGTGAATGTAAACAATTTTACAGTGAAAACAAACAAATTTAAATTCAGATATTGACTCTTCCATCTCAAGCGGAGATGACAAATGAGTTTTTAAGTACATGGAAACAGAAAAAATTGTCTGAAACTGTTATAGAATTTGTCAAACATGCGGTGAGATCAATTTCTTTGTATATTTACATGAAAGTGTGATAAAAAAAAACTCTATTTCATTATGTACAATGTACATAATGGTGCAATGAAATTTGAATTAGTATGAATGTCTGCTCATGACCAAAAGATGTTGATTCTCAATCATGTACTCAATCGTGTACTACTACTACTTAAAAAAAAAACTTTAACAATCTGCACCCCTTCAATGATCATTAAAATGACAGCAATTGGAAGTTCAAGGTTTACCCTCTATCAGATGTAATTGCATTCTGAAGTCGGTGAATTATAGGTGGTTTTTTTTGTCGGTTCCATCAACCTGTTAAGTGTGATGGCCTTTTGCAGTACAGGTGAGTTAAACACATGCCATATATTTCATCCTAAACATTTTTCACTATTAGAAAGCTATCTACCACAATGTGTCCCATTCAAACTGACAGCTGCTATAGAAAATGGCCACAAACGACAGGATTTTAACCCCATCATGAATGCCGTGATACCCATTTCTACATACAGCATAAAACAGCATTTGATGGAATTGTTCTCTTGAAAAATAATTCATTCAAGTGAAGGCATTAGATTGGAGGGTTTTCAACAAAATAAAGAATTTATCTTAAAGTTATTTTATCATTAGGAATAAAGAAATCAATTGATTCTAATACATCAATCACAATATATACCTTAAAAAGACTACACAAAGTGAATTCTATACAAGCAGGTATGTTCGGACACACAAAACACAGTGTCATGATCCAAGCCCCTTATATGTACAGAAGTATAAAACATGTATTGATGTCATGAAATGGCAAGGTATTGTACAGTCATATGATCAGCCATTTCAATTACTAGCCCTACAATACATCATATTCAATACAATACAATCTAATTTCCTCAAAAAATGTCAATGACAATGTTTTTACTAATAATTACATATTACAGTCAATGCTATTTGTGTACTGCTTATCAAGACAAACATGAGACAAATGCTACCATTGTACTTTTTAAAAATGGATTTTATTTGATCTATGACGAAATCTCCAAATCATGCATTTAATTACAATACAGGCAAAAAATTGATATCAAGATTTTTGAGAAAATATGACATGCAGACAGCACGATAACTCGAAGTATCAATTAGAACAATATTAACTTTAAAAGCATGCAACTGTTGACAAAGGAACATTCAATTCTATCCTATCTTTAACAAGACTGATCACATCTAATATTTGTTGGAGAATATCACATCAAAGGATGTAAATGTAACGAAAGTCTGATTCATTTTACAGCAATTATGAGCCTAGTTATACAAATCTGTATTAATCACTTGTTAGCTAAGATAGGGCTTAAAGTCCAAGGGAAACAGGAATACTGAGACTGCTTTGTTAGGCAAACTCTTCCATCCAACATGTGCATTATATCATATCTCTCTGAAAATTTTGGCTATTAGACATTTATCAAAGATTTTGAAGTTTCCAAAAAAAGAGAAGATTTTGGAATCCATAAAAGCATTGAAATTCTTAAAATTTTCCAATTATTTGAACTAAACTAAACATAAACAGCAAAAAAAGCATAAAACCTAAAAATGAAAAAGTTCCAGTTACCAACTTGTCTAGTAGGAACGAGAACCATGTCAGTAAGAGATGGCTACGCTATCATCAGAACCATCAACCAAAAGGTGGTCATGGTAATAATCCTGTACTCACCTCTGCTAGCGTCTGTGTTGCTGTTAACTTCAACTGCTCTCGCTCCAGGTGACTAATCTTTTCTGCCTGAGGGTCAAAGGTTATTGAAGGTTTGCTATAGTCCTCCTGACGTTGTTGTCGCTCCTGTAACAACGTTGACTTGGTTACAGCATCACGTTTGTCTGACTCAGCATTTTCAACAAGCTTCCTCATGTGTTGAAGTTGCTTCTCCAGTAATCCGCTACGTGTCTCTGCTGCTGTCAGCTGGGATTCCAATTCTAGTGAAGTCAAAAATTATAAGTTGATGAATATCATGATTACCATAATGGCAGTTTCTGTTTCATATTGCATATATTGTGGAGGAGGAAATTCATCATTGCATTAATTTGCCAAAAAGTGATAACATGGTAAAATCTGAACGTGCTCAAATAAGTATGTTTATAGCATTATAGGACATTATAGGTTAGCAAACCTCCTCATCTATATTTTGACTTTTTTGTTCCACCAATCAAAGGTGCTATTCACTTGTGTGTCTTTTGTACAATCTTACAAAGGAGTTATATAGATACAATATACGTTAATCAATTATCCATATGGTAAAACAACACAAAGTAAAACCCCTTACAAGACATAGGGTACCTTATCAATGATACGAAATTGACAAACCATACCAAGCACAAGCTGCCATCCCACAAAATCACCGATGTGTGTCATACCAAACCTACCAAAATCTTTATAAGGTATATTTTTACACCATTCCATAGTTTTATTTTCTTTTTTTTTACCTTGTGACTGTTGTGACATAATGGTTTGCGTTGGTTCCACATGATCTGGCTCCTTTGTTAGAATATCTTTGTATTTGTGAGTCTCGGCTGCCAAACTTTTTAGATTGGTTTCTGCAGCCGCCCTTTCTGTTTCTAACTTCCTAATTTTTTCCCGTAAATTTTTCAATGCCGATATAACAGCTGGAAGCAAAATACAAATAATTAGTGATTTCAAGATCAGAAATACAAGCAGTTTTTGGTATATTATAATTTGACCAATAACTCCCTGTTGAAATAACCGTTGACCTTTATAGTTTTCAGTGACCTATCTCAATGTTGTTAAGAATGTAACAATATAAATGCATGCCCTGGATGGTAATAACTATGTGGCTCCATAGGATAGAATGCTGAATGAAGGTGCACAAGGCAGGTCTTTGTTGCATCAATATAGTGATTTCAGCAGGAAATGACCAAGTGTGAAACTCTAATGTCAAAATGCATACTCAGTGATGATCTGCCTTTATAACAGAGGAATATCAACTTTACAGACTGTGATTTGAATCAGATTTAGCAGACAAGGTGCAGATATGTTCAACTTCATGAATCCTTGATATCCTGTAATGGAAAATCCTGTTTGTCTGTCACTTACCTAATCTGTTATTTTCAGGAGATGTGGACACAGGCTTGTCTGGGTTATCTTGGTAATTATCATTAATGAAAGGTTTCTCTGTGGGGTATTCATAGTAGGCTGTCGAATGCATGGACTCCTCTTGGTTTCTGTAGAGTGCTCGTTTAGTAGGACTCTTCGAGTGGGTGCCCGAGATGTGAGGTGCGTAGGTCTACAACAGACAAATAAAGATCATTTCCTTGTCATGATTAAGTGTATTGATACCAAAACAAGAAGGTTCAAATAGTGAATCCCTTAATGGGAAATTCTCTCCAATTGAACAAGTCTACTAAGCTGTATAATAGTGTAACATCAATGTATGCTGGTTAGGAAGTGAAATTCTACCCATATATAATTATATATATTATCACTGCATGGAAACTTGGTCTAGATCTGTGAGTCTCTAAAATAGGGGAATTATTCTGTTTTCGTGTGTATAGCTTCATCTACTGTTCACATTCAAACAAAAAATATTTACTATATTTCCGTTTTGTAATGGCATTCTACAATTCTCTTAATTTACAAAGAACATATTACCAGGTACATCTGTACCTTCCAACACTATCTACCCGGTAATTCCAGTTGTCATACTTTTTTCATTACCTGGTAAAAATGTATTTCCATTTCTGCATTTAAAAACAAAGGAAGAAACAAAGGAGGGAAGGGAGGGGACTGAATTTATTTACAGAGATTTTTATTGAAGATTTACATGTTAAGCTGCATGCATCTACATGTACAGTAATATTAGTCACCAAACTTGGATACAATAAATGTTAACGGTGATGACAACTTAATCTGAAGGATCCTAATTAATTAACTCTAGTCTAGGACTCAGTAAACATTACCCTGTCCATGATTGGGTTTGTATTGTTAATGTGTATAGCGTTTCCTACATAAACCTCCTATGCTAAAAAAGGTGATCACAACGACCATTCCCCGACCCAATCTGATAAGACTACAATGCATACCACCCGATAAAATTAAAGTTACAATTACAATATTTAGATATTGGGCAGATATTTCGAGCATTTACAACCAGCCCAAAATCCGATTCTTTTAATATCTTTTTTGGTGTGAGTAAATTGTAAATGGGTCACATTAAATTTGCTCGCATGATTTGCGATGACAAAAATGTGAAACTTTTAATCTGATTTTTTTCAAGTCAATAAACAAATTGTTTGTAGAAGATTTAATGTTCACAGTCAATAAACCAAGGCAAGTATATAAACCAGCTTTTAAATAAATGTTGATATTGTCAATTTATGATGGAAAGCAATGTGCTGTTGTCCATAATTTGACTCTTGTAATAAATTGTGTAGTAAAATGTTGTGACAAGTAGCCTTAGTAGGTACTTGATCTGAACGTTACGAAGTTGAAAAAACAATCTTAATTAAAATCCTTCAGGAAAGTTATATACTTTGTAAAGGTATATAAATGAAAATGGGACACCTTTCCTTTCAGGAAATAAATCTCAGGTTTCATCATTACAAAAGTTACATATAGATTTACATCCTCACCAAACTTTCTTTGACAATCAAAATGATTTAATTGAAAAAAAGGCAATATGATATAGTAACGGAGGATTCAGTTTTTAAAAACCAAACTTGCCTGACAATTTATAGGGTTCTAAGAGAAGTGTCCGATTTCAAATCAACAGAGAGATTTTCAACAAACATTGTTACAAGGACAATCACATCCAATCATAATAAATATGAACATCAAATAATTTCTGATAAAAAATCTAGCTACCAGACACAGAGTTGGGCCACTGGAAATGTAAACCACTGATTACAGCTGTCTATTACCTGTACTAAATTACAAACTGATTACAACGGTCTATTACCTGTACTAAATTACAAACTGATGACAACTGTCTATTACCTGTACTAAAGTACAAACTAATGACAACTGTCTATTACCTGTACTAAAGTACAAACTGACTACAACTGTCTATTACCTGTACTAAAGTACAAACTGATGACAGCTGTCTATTACCTGTACTAAAGTACACACTGACTACAGCTGTCTATTACCTGTACTAAAGTCCAAACTGATGACAACTGTCTATTACCTGTACTAAAGTACAAACTGATGACAGCGGTCTATTACCTGTACTAAAGTACAAACTGATGACAGCTGTCTATTACCTGTACTAAAGTACACACTGACTACAGCTGTCTATTACCTGTACTAAAGTCCAAACTGATGATAACTGTCTATTACCTGTACTAAAGTACAAACTGATGACAGCTGTCTATTACCTGTACTAAAGTACAAACTGATGACAGCTGTCTATTACCTGTACTAAAGTACAAACTGACTACAACTGTCTATTACCTGTACTAAAGTACAAACTGATGACAACTGTCTATTACCTGTACTAAAGTATATATATAACTGTTCTTCTGACAGTATATCTAATATGCTGACACATGTCAACAAATAAATTTTGCTAATATCTTCCAATATGTTGTCCAGACATTTCTACCTTCACCTTAAAGTACACAATGTAAATTTCTTGGCAAATCATGAAGTATAGTACATCTATTTATACAGATAAATTTTACTGCATCTTCAATTTTACAGCATCAACCAATGTGAAATAGCCAAGATGTCAAGATATAAAGAACATCCATTATGTTGTTACACTCGATATACGTACCTATGTTTCAGATCCCAATTTCAAATGATCTTTTAACACATACATGTACTTCAAAATATAATTAAGAAAAAAGGTTAAAATCTCCTTTTCCAAATAGGATTTTTGATTATGAAAAAGCTTACACAAGAAACTTCTGCTCAGTTGATTCTGTCACAGCCACTTCAATGTTAAGTACTTGACATGCTTACACTGTAAATCAGTTGACAAGGGTTTACAATTTTTTCAACCAGTAATCTTAAAATTAGTATTCATATTAAGCATTGTAACCTTCCACATGTATAACTTCTATAAATGACAATGGCTACCTATGTGATTTTCATTATAATACACCTGTATTGCTGTGACAATTAATTACAAGGGCCTTTGGTGTAGATTTATGTTAGTCCCTGGTGGGACTTCACCACTGGACAATGTCCAAAAACCCAACAGTCGAGGATATAAACTTTCACAGGTAAGTCATTGACCACATGGTGCAAGAAATACAAGTAATAAATTCAAACATATAACTAACATGAAATACCTACCTTAAGCATGATTCCTAATTGAGTTTCTGTAACTCCAATTATACAATTTACTCCAGGTGAAACACAGGTGTACGAATAATTGATGTTGTGATCATGATCAAATTTCAGGTGAAAGTGACGTTAAGGTATTAGAACAAGTGGCCACCTGTCGTGGGGCCCCGGCTAACAAACCTGATAAATAACCATACCCCACCGTCAAGCATAATACCTGCATATCATTAGCTATACAAAAGGTCATAACAAGTCTGAGGCTAAAGCTTAGCACCAACACTCGTCCAAGTACCTCAAATAGGTATAATAGCTTTTGACTCTACACATATATATCTGTCTGTAAAATCTGAAGACACTAGTGTTAAAGTCCAACTTATATTGTCACACATTCCATTCGATTTCAATTACCAGTACCAGTATGCTATATCTGCTTTTATCTTCAATGACCACCCACAATACTGACAAATCAGAAAAGATTTAAAGTAATGAAATTAAATTTCAGAATTCTAATAAATCTTTTCCTTCAATTTTAAATTGAGTGAACTTTATTTAGCACCCTTTTAACAATGAGTTTATAAACCATCTCTACTTGTCACATCAGTCTGGTACATATAAGGTAGATATATTCACATGATCTTAAAATGAGTCTCATTTCATATAATAGTTTATTAAACAACACTATGAAACCACCAATAATTAAAACTTGAAGTCAAGTTTCACAAAATTTCAATATAAAATGAAAACAAAAACCTGTATATACTTTTGATCATACAACTCAGAAAAGTAACATTTTGACAAGTTTAAAGTGAAACAGTGATAAGGACAAAATTAAAGTGAGGAAGCCATTGTATTACTCTACTTTCAATTCACGATTAAACATCATTGTCCATAAACAGTTGAACTTTGCTATCTCACAGTCATTGAGACTTTGGGAAAATTTCAAGTCATTCATGTATGATTTAACTTGGAATGCTGTGTGAGGTTTGACTGGGACCAACAAAATTATTTTCTCTTCAAGTTGTAAGAGTTTGAGTTAACAAGGTCCAACTGTATATGACATCACAATCACCTTCTCACTGCTGCATCCAATGAGAAATGCTCTGGGGTATATTCCAATGGTGAAATGTACACAAAAACTTGACATTCATTACAACATCTCATAATAGAACCACAGCCATGACTTAATTTTTTACTTTAGTGCTAAAACTTAAATTAGTGTAGTTTTTTTCTTTTTCTAAGTTTTTCTTTTCAGGCCTCAAATTAGGAAAAGTGTAATCTGATTAAATATTTTATTAAGACAGTTTTTAAGTTTACAATATATAATATTAGTATAAATTTTAAGTTCTACAAATTTCTTAAAGATGCTATTTGAAATAATCAAAGAGATTGAAAAATACAATACATCCATGTTGAGCTTGATTTTTTAAATTTCATTTTTAAAAATTGTACTATATTTGTACATTTGTTCAAGAAGAAATGTTTAAAGTGACCTAATTTATTTCCTTTTTTCAGATAACTGCGATCAAATATCAAATCTAACATCCTGTTTTAACTGAAAGTGTTGGATGATACAAATTCAAAAGTGAATGTATACCTTTGCATTAATTTGCATGCCTATATACAGCAGATTCCAACAACTTTGTCATTATTTTTTCTGTTATGTACAAGGCCAGCATCATTGAAAAAAAAAACAAGAACAGACTTGTACAGGGTTTGTATACAAATATTAAAATCACTGACACATTTTTTAATTTCCTGTTGCTTTTGTGACAGATCCCTGTCTGTATTAACAGCACCACTTTATATAAATATGCTAAAATGAGCCAGAGATCCTCATATTTGCTGAGGCATGATAAAAATCATCAATAATATTAAAAACATTTATTGATTTCGGAGACATTAACAGGAGAATTGTACCATGTATAAGATTATGGCTCAAAATGAAAAAAACAGATGTTTTTCCTTCAGTGACTAAATAAAATAGAATTAGGCTGA